ACTTTAAATTATTAAAAGATGGGGAAAAAAGAAAAAAATCAGTGAACCAATATTTGATTTTTTCAAGAAACAGAGTCTGTGGAATTGTTTAACCTCTTACCAGACTGATCAGGAAGAAAGAAAAGACAAGTATCAGAAATAAATGAGGTAATATTACTTCAAGTTTTACAGATATTAAAAGGATAAATGAGAATATTAGGAGAGCTTTATATTAATAAACTTAACAACTGAGATGAAATGAATAAATTTTTCATGAGTTTCTTAATGCTCTTCTAAGAAGAAACAGACAACCTCCACAGAGCTATACCTATTGCTATGTATCTTGTGACATGCCTAAAGCAATCATAAGGCTCAGATAAAGAAGAGGCATTGCTTAGTATAGGTGTGAATCTGAATCTGGCACTGGGAACTTTAGAACAGAATCTGAATGCAGCAGAGGGATGCTGGTATCAGGCACCAAAGCATCATGACCCTATAGCTCTCTGCAAATGTATAGGAAGAAGTCTTCAAATTTTCACACCTGTGAATCACTGAGGAAGCCTACCGAAGTACAGAATCTGATGGATTAGATCTGGAGTAGGGCCTGAGAGTCATTATTTTGAATAACAGACATTATTGCTATTCCACAGGTATGAAAATGCATAGCAGGATTCCATAGCAGCTCAATCTAATAAGGTAACCACTTAGCCATTTGTAACGTGACTGCTCCAAGTTGAGGATCTGCAGTGAGCACAAAATGCATACTGGATTTTAAGGCTCAGTATAAAAAATGTAAAAATTTCATCAATAGTTTTAAAATAGATTGCATATTGAAGTGATAAGTTAGTTATATTGGATGAAATTAAATGTATTATTAAAAGTCATTTGGCTGCCTTTCTTTTGGTTTTTATTATCACCTGCAATAGCCGGGATTAAACATAGATCTCTATACATACTAGGTAAGCAATCGACCTCTAAGCTACTACCTCTTTTCACTTTTTTTAAAATTGTTACTACAAAATTTAGAAGCACACATATGACTCAGGATTGAATTTCTGATGAATAGTGCTGCTTTGGGAAGAAGTGAGTCTTTAGTCGATGGGGCTGGCATTCGAAATACCGGTTCATCTTCACTTAGGCAGCAGAAGAGCCTGACTGCCCCGGAGAGGATAGGAGGCTGCCCTCACGGGTCATTGGCCTTGGTACAGGTTCTCAGAGTGAGGTGCGGGCAAGTTGAGCTGATCCTTGTGTCCTGGGACAGGGACCACTGGAATGGGTCTCATGAGGTTTGAGCTGAGAAAAGAGGAAATGTGGATACCACAGAGTCCCTCCTGTTGATTATCTGTCACTTCCCTTCTCATTTTTGTTTGAGCAGTTGTCTGAGGCAGGAATAGCAGCTAGGCTTTTCCACTTCCTTATTCTACCTCGCATGCAACCACTAAACTAACCTCCTCTGCACACTGTGGTCCAGCAGTCTTTCCCCTCAGACACAGCCCCAGTCCCTCTGTGGCTGAGTTCCAGGGGCCTGGTCACCCGTCCCTTGTGCAGTCAATTTGTTCATCCCAAAATGCCTCTTGCATCCTCCATCCATCTACATCATTCCCTTCCTGATTGAATCTCCTGTTCCTCCTCTTGGTTTCTACCAACCCATTCTACCACTTTTCAGAGCCCACCTGCAGTCCATCTGTCTCCAGATGTCCTTTCAGGATGTCCAGCCCCCGGAGGTCTGTTTTCACAACTTGTAGTACTGGTTTTAGCACAAGCCCATACGTCTGCTGCCCAAGGCTCTGCTCTATGATTCTTGCATTATCAGATTTCCTGTATTGGTTCTTTCACTGTGCTTAGCTTACCTTCTCATGGTCCCTTTGGTCTGGACCAATGGAATAAGCAGATTCTCAAAGAGCAGGCAGGATGGGGCACTCATGTAATCCCAGGAGAATTCCAAGTTCAAGCCCAGCCTACTGAACTTAGTGAGACTCTATCTCAAAATTAAAAAAAAAAAAGGATTGGGAATGTAGCTCAGGGGAAACGCTCTAGATTCAATGCCCTAAATACATACATACATGCATACATAAATTGAGACATGAAATGAATCTCCAGTTTAGCAACTACTAAAAATGATCACATTTATGTCATATATCCTATAATTTTCTTCTCTCATAAATTGTTTAGATATTTAAAAACAGGGCCCAGACACCAGTCATTTCATGCCACTATACTTTGGAATTGGTCAATGACAGATGTGGAAGTTTTTAAAAATATGTAACCACTATGGTATTGTCATATTTGATAAAATCTGTAATAATTACTTGGCATTGCCCAATACCCAAATTTCTCTATTCCCAGAATGTCTCTTTCCATCCTGTGTCAAAATGCACTTGACATAAAATTAACTGCCTTAGCCATTTTTCAGCATACACTTCAGGAGTGTTGTATATATTCACATTGCTGTGTAACGGCATTGCTGTGTAATCCAGACCTCTTTTCATCTTGAAAAACAAAAATTCTGTGTTTATTAAATAATAGCTCCCCCTTTCTCTCTCTCCCAGCCCCTGGCAGCCACCTTTTTACTTTTGCATTTATGGGTTTGATTACTTTAGAGACCTCATGTAAGCAGAATCATACAGCATTTAGTATAAGATTTATTAATGGTCTATTGAATTTATTATAAGATTTATTAATGTTGCAGTATATGCTGGTTATCCTTCATTTTGAAGGCTGAATGATATTCCATTATATGTGTACACTGCATTTTTTTTATCCATTCGTTTGTCAATAGTCACTGGATTGGTTCCACCTGTTTGGCCATTGTGAATAGAGCTGCTATAAACATGAATATACATGTTTCTCCGCAAATCCCTGTTTTTTATTTTTTAGGGTATATACTTTTTACTGGAATTGCTAGATCATATAACAAAGTCTCTTAATTTCTTGAGGGCCTGCTATATATTACAACAGCAACTATATCATTTTCTGTCCCTACCAACATTGCAAAGTGATTCTTCTGTTTGTTTTTTCAGGTAGGGTCTCACCTTACAGTCCAGGCTGGCCTTGAACTCACTAGATAGTCCAGGCTGGTATCAAACTCACTGTGATCCTCCTTTCTCAGCCTCCTGATTGCTGGGATTACAGGTGTGCACCACCACACCCAGCTGCTCCACATTCTAATTTCTCTGCATCTACACCAATACTTGCTATATTTTGGATGTTTTGATAGTAACCATCCTAATGGATATGATGTGATTCTGATTGATTTCTCTGGCTACTGATTTTGAGCATTTATTTGTGTGCCTATTTTTCATGTGTACATCTTCTGCAGAGGAATATCTGTAAGTCATTTGCCCATTTTTGAATCACATTGTCTTTTTGTTGTTGAGTTATAGAAGACTTATACCACAGTGTTACTAATTAACTACAATCTCCCTTTCTGCAGTTTCATTTACCCACAATCAAGGTTGGTCTGAAAATATTAAGTGGGAAATTCCAGAAATAAGCAATATCCTGATGTTTTTACTTGAGCATCATTCTAGGAGCATGATGAAATCTATTCTTGTCCTGATTTCTCTTGAACTGGGCAGGCAGCATCTCTTTGTCTAATGCATCCATGATATACATACTACCTGCCTGCTGATCACTTCATAATTGCATAGGCTAAGGCCCAAATCAAGGTATCACTTTGTTTCTTTTTTTCTTTTTTTTAAAATCTTTTTATCGGTACTGGGGATCGAAATCATAAAATCTTTTTATTGGTACTGGGGATCGAAATCATGACCGCCTGCTTGCAAGGCAGGTGCTTATGCGCTGAGCTAAATCCCAGCCCCATCACCCTGTTTCTATAGAGGGTTTGGTACTTCCTGCATTTCAGGAATCCACTGGCGTTTTGAAACATATGACCCACAATGAAAGGGGATCACTCTATAGTCTGGATTAATCTCCTTAACCAAACATTATTTCTTTGTACTTGGTCTATTTAAATCACAACCCAACAAAGTCCTTCTACTTGAGTAAGTTTTGTTATGACTCACATCTTACATAATCTGAAGGAAATCCTTCTCTGTTTTTCTCTCTTGTCATCGACTTGTGGAAAAGTCCAGGTCCATTCTCACACTGAATTAACCTTCTGTAATGCATCTTTGTTGCTTCTCTGCAAAACTTCCTGCTTTTATTTTTGGTAATTACAGCAGTGAATCTTCCCAGAGACAGCAATCGCAAGACTATCTCCCTGGATATGGGCAGCACAAGGCAGATCCTGGAGAAGTTGCCGGGAAAAATGGAGGGGAAAGTCCTGTCTCAGGAGCCTTACCAGATATTCTCAAAGGCCAAGAGCTGGGTCAGGGAGCTCACAGCAGGCAGGAGCCCATGTACCAGGTCATGCATCTTCTGATGCCCCACTGGAGGGAAAGCTTCAGTCACCAAGGCCCGAGTGCTATAATATGCAATGGAGTTTGTCTCTGGGTTAGGATGATGGTTGCAGTTTTTGGTTGATTGTATTTTCAAAATTGAAAGCCAGGCATTGTGGCATGTACTTGTAATTCCAGCATTTGGGAGACTAAAGCAGGATTGCGGTGAGTTCAAGGCCAGTCTAAAACATATAGCAAGATCTTACCTCAAAACAAAACAAAAAATCAAAAAATTCTAGAATGAACAATGAAATAGTAGTGTCTTTGCCTTCAAAAATAGATCAGTAGCTTTTCCTGACATAGATATGACCAAGGAAGACATCAAGGACACAGCTGAGTCCTCAGAAGTGTGACAGGAGCGGGGTCCTCCAGACTCCTCCAGAAAAGCAGGGCTATGCCCTGGAAGAGCAGCCCCACGACATGGCACAGTCCCGAGGAGACCTATCCTGCTGGCTCTGCGCATCTGGAGCTGAGGCCAGTGTTCTTGGCTCTGCCTGCTGTACTCTCGAGGTCTGAGCCTGTAAGGAAGGGTCCAGCTGCCCTTGCCTGGAAAAGTCTTACCCAGGTTACTGCTTTGAATCTCTTTACACACAGGCACAAACACACACAAACAAGCACACCTTCCCAAAATAGAACAGTCTTTATTATAAACTTAGAATAGAAAAGAACAAGTGACAGACATTTCTCAGATGTCTTTGAAATTCTCATAAGCATATAAAACAGGTATAGAACATGCTCTTTCCAAATTGCTTTAAAATGCCCAATATTGAAAGGGGACAGATGCATGGCATCTAAGTGCTTCAACAAGATGGCACACACTGGGTTCCATTCCTTCCCAAGTGAGGAGGTAAAGCACCTTGCTCCTGCCTGGCTGACGGCAGAACAGAGAAGACACTTGCTTACTACTGAATTTGGGGCTCTGAACTCTACCCTAGGGTACAGAGACCTGTGACCATGACATTTTCTCCCTGATACACAGCTTGATAGGACCCAAATGGGAAGGAGAAACAGCCAGGCCTACAGCTTGCTTGCTGTGTGAAGCCAAGCAGCTCTCTGTCAACCTGCAGTTCACTGGACATACAAATGCCAACATGTTGTGGTCTTTCCAGAAAGAGTGCCCCATTTTATTAGAAGACATGCTCAGGTCCCCTGGATGATGGGACTCATACCTGTGGGAGGTGCACTGTGCGTCTATCTATGTCAGTGTACGAGATGGTATGTAGGCCACAAGCTTCAGGGTAGAACACACCCGTCTTTGTCAATAAACAAGGCAATCAAGGGAGCTCACTATGGTGGCCAAGGAAAGAAAGGTCGGAAAGGTCTCTGCTGACACTGCCCTGGTGACCCAGCCCCATAGCACATATCTGATAGATATTCCAGAAGCCAGAATCCCATTCTGGGTCCCACAGAACTGCAGCGTACTTATGGGTATCTGGACAGGTGGCAATGAAAAGCAGCCCTAAACGCTTAGGGGACTGTTCAGGGCTCTTGGGAATTTGTCACTACTTGAGAGAGGACAGAGGCTAGGAAGAGTCAACAATCCAGGTGATAGGAAGCCCCATTAGCGAATCCATCTTGAGCTGGGATGCCCCACTGGGATCAGCCTGCATTTCCATCTGCCCAGTGAAGAGGAGAGAGGATATGGGGTGGCAATGAGGTACCAGCCGGCCCATAGTCCCAGTAGTGGTCCTCATGGCGTCTTGGAAAGGCCAGCTCTCCCCCGAAGAGCCAGAGCACTGCTTCACCACTTCCTTCAGGGATTCAAAGGCAGCTACTGCCTGATCTCCACTTCCTATTTGCCAGGTGAAGAAAGGGAGGTGAAGACAGATGAATGGCTCAGAGGTGGCTTGGCTGCGCATCACTGTCCTGGCCACATGAGCCACTCGTTCCATGCAGGACCTAAAACTTGGTGTCCATACAGTGTCTGGTTGCTACAGGTGTCTTGGCAGCTGGCATCTCTAGGAATGAAGATGTAGGTAGACCACAGATTCCCTTGCAAACACAGAAGAGGCAGGGACAGATGGGCACAGACAGGGAGCTAGAAGCAGGGTTCCAGAGCCACCTTCAGGGTAAGGACAGGGCTTTGGCAAGGCGGGTCCAGAACCAAGACTTGGTGCAGGGGTTGGTGTAGTCGCAGACTGTGATGAACCGCAGGATGCTGGGGAACTCCTTCTTCATTGCCTTGTACTTAATGGGGATCAGTCTCTTTTGATGTACACCTGCAAGCCAAGGGGTCTTTACATCCTGGAACCAGGATGTGAAGACGCAGTCCCAGTCTCCAAACCCAGGAATGATACCAACTCTTCCTTAGCTAGGTAGTACCACATAAAGAGGCACATAGATGCAACCGCACACTAGCCCAGCCACAAAGACCTGTAGAGGTCCTTTGGTGTTAATTCTGTGGCCCCGAGAGAAGGCCGGTATTTTAAGGCTCCATCTGCACACTTCTCTCTGGTCAGGGTAGGGCTGAGCTTACCTGGAGAGAGGCTGAGAGCAAACTTGGTCTGGAAGTCACATTCCTTGCTCTGCAGGTAATCATCTGAGACAACCACCACCATCCGGCGGCACCTATGGGAAAGTGGGCAGGGCACAGACTGTGGTAACTCACTTTAACATACCTTCATGGAGCCAGGGCTGGCAGAAAAAGCTCAGCATCTGTACTCCTAAGTTCCGCACACACCCACCTAACCCTAGACTTCTACCTAACCTCTTCTCGATGAGCTCACTGGCGATGGACCAGACACAGGTTCCTGGCAGGACATCACGGTCAGACACACACAACTTCAGTCGATAATCTGTCTGCTCCAGTTGCCGTATCATCTCCTGCACAAACTGGATGTCGCTGGGGCAGTAGCAGATGAAGGCATCGAAGTACTCTGGTGCTTGGCCTGTGTAGAGCGTAAAACGGATGGCCAGAGTGCACAGGATCCTGGGGAAGGCTCCGGCAGGAGTCGCCTACCTAGGCAACCTGGTCCTGGTCCCTGCACCCACCTCAAAATGCCAATGACACACACACACATACAAAGTGTCCTCCCCATCAGGAGAAAGACAAGCCCTCCTGGGGGCCAAGCCCTGAGTTAACCATGACTCAGACCCATCATTTCATGAGAGTCTCAGAGCAATTCAGAGGTAGAACTATTACGCCATTTCCTAGGTGTGGAAACTTCAGCTCAGAAAAGTAAAGTAATTTGTTCGAGGACGCACAGCCCAGCTGCTTGCCACATCCACGCTCTGCATACTAGCCTGTCCCTGTCCCACCTGTGCCGTGGAACAGTGCTGGTTCCTTACCCAGAGGGTCATCCAGTGTGGTGATGCCAAAAGGCTCTTCTGTGCGTGGGACACTGCTGTCCACTCTGGCCACTTGTAAGGGTTTCTCAGACTCCTCCTGCTGCTGCTTCAAAATGTACTTTTGGCAATCCTCCTCTGTGGGGAAGAGACAGGATGACTCAGTCTCCTAAGGAGGCCCCAACCCTCCACTCAGTTTTGTAAAATTCTCTGTACTATTGGGGAGTCCCAAATTGCCTCAGTCAGGAGGCATTCCTTGTCCCACTTCCCACATCGGGGATGCTGGTCAGTTCTATGGCTTTGAGAAGCAGAGCACACCCTCTATTCCCCATCCACAGGAGTCAGGTCCTTCCAACAGGATGCCTGTGGCCATTAAGGAAGTCACCGAGGTGAGGCTTCTGTCTCTTATGTCCCTTGGACCCCAACAATGGAAGCATGGTCTGCTTCTTCCAGCAGCTAGGACAGATGTGAGCAGGGGACTGGCAAAACAGAAGGCCAGGTCTAGTCACAGTGAAGGAACCAACTCCTAACCAGAAAGGGGCACCTGCATTGGGGCAGCTGACAGCCGGTGCAGGTACTTAGGTAAGCCAGTGAGAGGCAGAAGGGGTCGCATTTCTTGAGCCACTGAGGCTTTCTACACCACAGGTTTTATTCCCTCACCTGACCTGTTGCTCTGCCTCACATACCCCTGATGTCCCTACAGCCTGATTCTGACTCCTGGCCCAATCCAAAAAAAAGCCTTTGTCCAAGCTCATCGCCTACCTTCCCCCATCTTCCAGTCCTCCCCATCTTTCCAGAACAGTAAAAAGCAGCGCAGGCTTGCCCAGCCACCCAACCCCACTTCTCGTGCCTTCTCCGGAAGGAGGGTCTAGGCAGGCGCAACTGGCTGCTGAGGCCAGTGAGCTCAGCCTTCCCTGCCCAGCTACAAGGCCAGGAAGCGGGCGTCCTTACCGATGCTGGACCTCAGTTCCAACAGCACGTCGTTGCGGTCCAGCTTGGCGAGCAGCTCCAGCAGCTGGCCCACGGACGCTCCAGGTCGGCCCTGCCAGGCGTCCAGCAGGCTGCCGGTGGGGTCAAGGCGCGACTCCAGCTGTCTGATCTCCAAGTAGTCGAAGCCCATCTCCTCCGCCAGCACAGTCCAGTCAGCTGCCACCTGCGTCTTGGCGTTCAGGAACAGCGACAGGCGGCGGCGCACTCGCACATTGAGCGCAGTGAGGGGCAGCGAAGACATGGAGACCGCGGGTGGCGCAGAGTCCTTGCCGGGGACACTCGAAGCCATGGTGGCCCAGAGCCTCGGGTCGCGTCGCCGCCGGGCCGGTGGCTTCTCCTTCCTCTGCGGCTCTGCTTGCTCCGCCCGCTTTCGCTTTCCGAGAAGCGCCGCCCCGCACGGGGTGCAGAGGTGGGGCGCCCGCTCCTGCCCTCGAGATTGTGTGTGTGTGGGGGGGGGGGGAGCAGCGGCTGTGAACCAAGAACTTGCCCTTTGACGTTTGGGGAGGTCGACTGATCTGCCCTCTAGGGTCTGCTGGTGGTGGGGTTGGGGCGGGAGCGCGGGAAGGCGACCCTCGAGGGGACGTAGAAAACAGTTTTGTTCCTTGGGATGTGATGACCCACAACCCCTCCCTTGGGGATATAAGAGATTCACGCGGCCCTGCAGTCGAGGACGATGAGGAGGGAACCAGGGGAGCAGGCACCGGATCCGCCCTGCGAAGTCTCTGGGGCCGCACAACCCAGAGACCACTGAACCTTGCCAGTAAGGAGCCCGAGGAGAGACCAGCTGTGCATGGGGGAGAGGATGAGAAGGGGGCACAAGCTTTTGGCGTCTGAGCCCTGGGTGGGTGGGTGGCGGCGCTGTTCCCTAGGGATGGGATTTGCAGAGTTGCATGTCCTTCTGGATCGGGCATGCCAAGTATTACTCTCCAGCGTCTCGGGTAAACACATGGCTGTGCCCCCTGGGAATGGAAGGCACCTCGTTTTGTAGTCTAGATATGGAAGCCCCGATTTGTTCACTCATTCAACAAGTACGCAGGCACCCAGACACAGGGTATCCTCTGCCTTGGTGGAGAGCCCTCCTAGTGGGAAGGTCAGCACACAGAAGACCAACCACCTAGGTAGGCACAAAACTGACGTCAGAAGGGTAGTGTCTGTCTACAATTAAAAAGCACAGCTTTGCAAAATCCTTTCTCCGCGCCGTCCCGTCGTCCCAGACTGCCTCTTGTCATCTGGGAAAACATCTCGGGAGAAGCGATTTCGTCGGAGCAGATCTCTGCAACTCGGCTCAGGTCCTGGAGCCAGCGGCGCTGCAGGGCCCACGAGGAAGGGGAACAGGAGCTGAAGTCCCGACTGCCTTCAGCATCTACTGCAAGAATCAGTGCGCTTGCCGGGCGTGGTGGCTCATGCCTGTAATCAGGAGGATCATTACGAGTTCGAGACCAGCCTGGGCTACAAAATGAGCTCAAGACCAGCCTGAACTGCATAGCGAGACCCTGTCTCAAAAAAGACAAAAAAAAAACTCAGTGTGCAAAAGTCCTGGGGGCCAAGGCTTCCATTTGGCGGCTGGCAGGACTTTGACAGGGAACTTTTGAGTTTCGGTCGGGTTCCGTTCGATTTCCGGTCGGGTTCCCTCCCCGACGCCCAGAGTAAGGCTCGGCCACCGGTTTGGCAACAAAAGGTTGCGAAAGAGGCGGAAATGTTCTGGGTGGGGCTTATGAAAGGCTCACCTCCTGATTGGCCGCGGAAGCCCATAGTAGGCGGGACTTTGAATGGAAAGAGGCAGTTCCTGTGAGCCGAAGTGGTTGGGGGTGGGGGCGTGTCCTCAGGCACTTTCTTCTTCTGATTGGCTGAGGTGGAGATGGGCGGGACCTCTGCCTCTCGGCTGTTAGTTTAGGCGTCAGCTGGCTGTAGTTAGACCTCTGGGCGGGGAGCAATGTGCGCCTGCGCGGGCTTTGGCTTTTCTTTCCCAGAAACTGAACGTTAAACCCTGATCTGAATGCTCAGCTCAGCTAGCGGTGCGATGTGGAGGCTGCAGGTGGTGCTCGGTCACCTGAGTGGTCGGCCCCAGTCGAGGCCGGCGCTGCAGGCCGAGCCATGCCTCAGTGGTTTCCCGCCCGCCTCGGCCGCGGACGTGGTGGTGGTTCACGGACGCCGCACACCCATCGGCCGAGCGGGCCGCGGCGGCTTTAAGGTGAGGCCATGGGGCGAACGCCGGGCTGAGAGGACCCGTGAGGGCTGGGGTCGCCCTGTGCCAAGGCGGGGTGTGGGAGCCGGGCTCACTGGGCTGCGTCCCGCTGCAGGACACCACTCCCGACGAGCTCCTGGCTGCCGTCCTGACTGCGGTTCTACAGGACGTGAAGCTGAGGCCCGAGCAGCTGGGAGACATCTCCGTGGGTGAGCCTGCCACCTGGTCTTCTGTCCTCCCGAGCCCACACTTCCCCGCCCTAGTTTTCACTGATAGGACTGGCAGTGCACTGTGCTGGCTGCGGCCCTAGCTTAGGAGCCAGTCACTCCCACTGCAGACACCTCTCTTGCACGCGCATTCGCCTATTAGCAGAAACGTCAGCCTATTGGCCTCAAAAAGCAGCAGTCAGAAGCGCAAACATTATACCCAGGTTCCTAGACAATCCAGGAGACAGGATTCTGTACCACCATGACACCCTGTCTGTGTCAGGAGAGAAGAGGAAGAATGTCAAAAACCCTCTAGTGTCCCAGCTCATGTACAGATGGAGAAACTAAGGCTCGGCAAATTTGCCCTCAAGCTAGGATATGAACCAAGGGCCCGGACCTTCGTTCAGGACAACCTCATTTTTTACACGATGTGTCCTCCCTTATTAATTATTTACTCATTTATTTGTCGTTTTGAGACCAGGTCTTGCTATGCAGTTCAAGCTGGCCTTGGGGCTCACTTTGTTGCCCAGGCTGGTCTCGAACTTGGAATAGTCCTCCTGCCTCAGCCTCTTGAGTGCTGGATTACAGGCATTTGCCACCACACCTGACTCACATAGTATGACAGACCAGTTTCATACCTGATGCCAACCTGGGAATCAGGGTTTCTCCTTTAACAAGCCTGGGAGAAGGATACTTGGTAGAAGTCTGCATTCTCCGAATGTCATTCCCTCACCACAGGACCAGTTCTGTTAGACTTGAAGCTTTGCTTTGCAAGGTTCCTCTTTCCTTAGAGCTAAGCCTCAACTTTGAAGGGCAAGCCACCTGTCCTGTCTCTGCTTATTTAAAGAGCAGGGTGCAAAGCAAGTAAGTTTGAGACCCTCTGCTACTGGGGCTGGTTTATGACAGGACAAGCTGTTGATTCACTCTGCTGAAACCCTAAATTCCAGTCTCAAATGAACCTGAATAAACACCTAGAATGTGTCCTCTCTGGTACTCAGCTCAGCTGTCCTGTACTGCTCAGAACATCACCTGGCACTAAAAGGTTTTTTTCCATAGGAAATGTGCTTCAACCTGGTGCTGGAGCCCTCATGGCCCGGATTGCCCAGTTTCTGAGGTAACCTTTTTTTTTCCTGGCTGTGGGTTGGCCTTTTGTATCTGTCTCCTTTTTTCCTTCGTATCTCTTAAGTGGGATCTTGGCCCAGAGAATGCAGCCGATGGGTGGTAGAAGATGAGGTTGGATCCCAGACATTGGAGTAACCAAAGTCCTTGCAACCCTGCTCTTGTAGACCCAACCTCTCCTCTGTTTTGAGGAGTGTTGTGCAACGCTCAAGAGGTGAGACACACAGGGCTTTGGGACTAGAGCAAAGGTTTTGTGTATCTTTGCTAAGTGTGGACTCTGTCCTCATTGGCAGGTGCATAACCACATAAGCAGTATCAACTGTGACTTTGCTTCTTTTGCAAATTGAGCATTCTGGGAACTCTAGTTTCAGTCCATGAGCAGAAGCTTGGGCATAGGGCAGCATCCTGGGGAAGGCAAGCGGTTGGACCCCAGAAGGCGCCTTCATCACCTTGCTCTTCAGCACTTGACCTCCCAAGGTGGGAAAGCAGGGTTAAATTATTTTAACATGTGGCTTTGTATTTCCAGCTGCATGAAGTACAGATAGTACTGTAGAAACATTAGCCAGAGATAAAATAGGAAACAAAACAAAACAACGTCTTGAACTAAGCAAGATTCAGACTGCTTACAGTGCAATTCAAGGTCTCTCTTTGTCTATAGAGTTAGCTTTTTGGCTCATATCTCAGATGCTTACTCACTTAGACTTTCCCGCCTTTAACCAGCCTGTCTGCCTGCTATTTCCCTATGCTGTGCATTCTGCTCAGCGGTATAAGCATCTGCCTTGCAAGCAGGCGGTCCTGAGTTTGATCCCCCGCACCGAGAAAAAAAAAAAAAGCCTTGGCTCATTCTGCCCCTTAGGGGTGCTGTCCCCACATTCAGTCTCTGCCCAGCTAAACCCTGCCTAAACATAGTGTCACCATTTCAGCATGGTTTCTCCAAGCTCGCAGACTTCAGATGAGAGGCTTTCTGCTGCGGTAGCTGCCCATGTGCTTCTCTGTGATGTGGCCATGACATTGGCCTGGCTACTGCAGTCCCTGTGGGAACATGAACTCCCAGCTGTGCGGGGTCACTAAGGCTGAGGAGTAGGGATGTTTTCTTCTTTGTGCCTGTCACAGCAACACCTGCATGGCTCTGTCCTTTGAGGGAAAGGGATATGTCTGGCTTTCGTTGTTGAACCTTTAGAGGAAGAGACGAAATGATCCCTCTGGACCAGCCAGGCATCCCTTGCCTTGGGTTGAAGAGAATCATAGAGAAGGAGGGCAGGTGCTTTTGAGGTTCTCAGGAGCAGCCATCTTCAGAGACAGGGTCTGTCCAGAGCTGTCCACCTCAGGCTCCATAAACCTGCCTGATACGGAGCCAAAACTGCCAGGTTGGCCTGGGTCTGCTGACGTAGAACCATAATCCCAGCACTCTGAGAGACCAATGCAGGAGGATGTCAAGTTCAAGCTGGGCCTGAGCAACTTGGCAATTTAGTGAGACCCCTTCTCAAAATAGTAAGCTGGGGATGTAGCTTATTGCAAAGGCCTGGGGTTCAAGCCCCAACACTGGGGGAAAAGTGGTTGTTCTTCTGGGTCTGTGCTCTCCCCAAGGAGGACAGTCGTGTGGCCCAGTGACACAGGCTTGTTTTCTATGAGAACCTGGCAGGGCAAGAGACTGACTACTGTATCCCTTCTGTTGCAGTGGTATCCCAGAGACCGTGCCCTTATCTGCTGTCAATAGACAGTGCTCGTCGGGACTGCAGGCAGTGGCCAACATAGCTGGTGAGTTGTGGCTGGGGAATTTTGGTGGTCATGGACTGGCCTTGCTGCTGACCCCACAGGTTTGGTCCATAATTGTTGCTGCTCTGGGCCACAGTGTATGTTTCTTCCTGGACTCTGAGCACAGAAGGAATACAGGAGCAGCCCTTGCCACTGTCCTAGGTCTCTTCTGGATCCCCTGGGTCTTTGTTTCTGAGGCTGTGTTGAGTCACACATAGAAAACAGTAGGGGCTGGGCATGGTCCTAAAACTGGGGAGGCTGAGGCAGGAGGATCACCGTGAGCTCGAGGTCAGCCTGGACTACATACTGAGATTCTGCCTCAAAACAAAACAAAGCAAGCAGGGAAGGGACCTTAGTGCTCCCAGAGATCCCTCTGGCCGAGGTGGTTATGAAATGCTTTTGTTGCAGGTGGCATCAGAAATGGGTCTTATGACATTGGCATGGCCTGTGGGTAAGAATTTCTTTTTGCTGGTGTTTATTAACCAACTGTGATGGTCTAACTAACTCTTCTCAGCTTTCTAAGGCGGTGATTTTGGAATGCTCTCCGAGACACTCTGGGCAGCTGGTTGAGAATTAGTTTGCGCAAATGAAGCCCAAAAGCGGCCCCAACACCAACTGCTTGAGAATGGCTCACATGTGGAGACCAGCGGGGAGGGACAGTTGGTCTCGGCTTTCTTTCTTAGAAATCTGTCAGGCTGGAAATGTGGTCAGGCACACTGAGGAAACAGAGCATTTGTGTTCCTTTTGAGAGTAGAGTGGCAATTTTGGTTCCCTAAAGCCAGAGGCCACTTCCTGCTTTATACCTAACTATTCATTTTACAAAACTGTCTGTCCACTGTCCCCACCTTTGTCCCCAGGTAGAAACATTTGAGTGCCTGCTGGCTTTTGAGGGCATACCGTAATTGGATCTCTGATGATTTGGTCACTGCCACCTCTACCCAGCTCTGTCTGCTGGAAGCATTTGGCAGTGCTTGAAGGGAAGGGAAGGGCACTGGGGCCCAGGCTGGGAATGTCTGGTGTGAGGTAGACAGGCTCAGGAGGTGAGCGGCTGGGTTCTGATGTGTCCATGCCACCTTTCAGATCCTCTTTTGAGGGTCTTGACAGAAAGCACTGCTGTCCCCTGACCAGGTGAGGAGTATGTGGTGCTGGGCTTCCTGACTTATGTCTCAGTTGGAGAACAGCCACAAACAGAGACAAAGTCCACTGCCTAGCCTGCACTTCGATGTCTGTCACATTCCTGTCTCATGTGAGGTGTGGGTAACTAGAAGAGAGGGGCTGGAGCCTTCATAAAGCTTCCTTAGGATCTTCTGATTCTCCAGCAGGTTAAGGGCCAGAGGCTGGGTTATTATGGAGCTGGGCTAGGAGAGCAAGATCTGATGGTCCCTGAGGGCTTCAGCAGGCAGTGTCACCCTGGAAGTCGGAGGTGGGAATGAGTGCTGGGGACATACTGAAATGGGACCAGAATTGGTGACTGTGAACAAATTCCTCTCTGCCGAGGACATCAGTGTCCTCGTCTATAAAGGCTACACCTACTTCAGCTATGTCTGGGTTTGTAAGAGGAATCAATGAAGCTGTAATCAGGTCTAACACCATGGAGCATGCGTCACGTGGCTGACCATGTTTTTAGTGTCCTCAGGCCTGCAAAGAGTTGAAACTAGTGCTGGGCTCGGAAAATACTCAGGCAAGGTCCGCTGTGGTCCTTCTTGAGGTCTGATACCTTGCCTTTCTCTTGTCTCTCTCACGAACTTTCCTTTCTTCTCAGTCGCTCGCACCCTCAGGACTTTGCAGACTCTTGATGTGAGATCTGCTCTTGCTTTAAAGACATTTGTCTCAGCTGGGCATGGTGGCACATACCTGTAATCTCAGCACTCTAGGTGGCTGAGGCAGGCAGGTCACAAGTTCAATCCTAGCCCGGGCATCTTAACGGTTTAGTGAGATTCTGTCTCAAATTAAAAAATAATAAAAAGACTGGCGATATAGCTCAGAGCAGAGGCCCTGGGTTTAGTACACACTACAAAACAAACAAATGAAAAAATATATTTATTTCTTTTTCCTCTGTACCTGAGGCCTGAGGGCAGGGCCTGGGCACATTGGCTGTGTTTCCTGCACCATGCCGGACACTGGAATGCTTTCCCCAGGAAACGATGACTGGCTGGGTCAGCTGTTGTGCTGGGAAGCGTGACTCTGCTCCAGGATGCATGGCCAGAGCAGTGCTGTGTCCAGGTGGAAGAAAGTAGAGTCAGGTTTCTGCCACCCTGCAGCCCTAGCTCTGCCTTGGCCAGCCACGTGCCCTCTCGTGCCTCACAGACTGCATGATGGCATTCTTGAGGGCTCCACGTGTTCAGCCATCCCTGGGGGTTCCTACTAGGGCTCCTCTTTCTTCTCCTCAGGGTGGAGTCCATGTCCTTGGCTGAGAGAGGGAATCCCGGAAATATTACCTCACGTCTGCTGGAAAATGAGAAAGCCAAAGACTGTCTGATACCCATGGGGTGAGTTCTTGGCCGCAGCTCCCTGCGCTGTGCCCCTAAGTTCTCTGCTCATCCTGGAGCAGGGGTGCAGGAACTTTCTCATCTCTGTGACTGGCAGTGCAGGCCTTGGCTTACTCCCTTTGGTGTCCATGCTCGGGGTGTGGCTCTTGATTCTGCCCTTGGCTTTTATTTCCTGGTGCTCCGTAGTGGTCTCTAACCCACTGAGTTTTCAAACACCCCACCATCTCACCTTCTGAAATACCTATTCTTGTGGAGGACCATGGCAGTGTCCTCTACAGCCTCAACAACCAAGGGAGTCAGAAGGAGAGGTTTTGACTCCTGATCATCTGGGGAGAGACCTCGGGCACTTTCAGGTATAGCAAAATATGTGCCACCCTTAGCACCTACAAGCAGGGTGTCCTGACTCCAGTGGTGTTTGAGGAGACTGAAGTTCACGTGCTGCGTCTCCACATGCTGCATCTCCCAGGACAGCCTGGAAAACCAGCGGCCAGGCTGTAAGGGCCCAGTGTGGCTCTGGGCGCTCAGGATAGGGACAGAGCCCTGCAAGGTGAGCAGAAGACTAAAGTGCAGCTGTTCCAGAGGGGACATGGGCATCCGCATCTCCCCACATGAAAGCACTTGTCCTCACAAATATGGACATTTGGTGAAGTGTGGCCAGTTAGCACTGCCCCTGCAGACCCTCCCACCCATCTCTACGTTGAGGCAGCTCACTGAGGAAACAGATTCCTGCTCTGCACTGTCTGCACCAAGCAGCCCTCTCCTTGGTGGGGTGTCTTTGGGATATGAGTGTCTGAGGATGTGGCCAGCATTGGTGATTACCTGCCTGTGCCCACACACATTCTGGGGCAGAGAGTGCTACCCCCTGGGTCCTCACCACCGTTTCTGTGGCATGGACTGGGTCCAGTGGGTCCCAGCCCTCAGGCTGCCAGACCCACACATGCTGATTTGCCATTTGTGTCCTAGGATAACCTCAGAGAATGTGGCTGAGCGGTTTGGCATTTCCAGGGAGAAGCAGGATGCCTTTGCACTGGCCTCCCAGCAGAAGTGAGTGCTGCTTGGGCTGGGACCTTAGAGGGCTGGAGAGCTAGGTTTTAAGGCCATCCTAGGTGATGTAAGGTAGAGCTGTCTGGAGGAAACAGCTGCCAAGGAGGGTTTTGTTGACCTCATGCCTTGCAATTGGAGGTGGAAGGAGGCTGTAGGATGTGGTGGCTTTTCTAGGTCTGTTACCTACTGCCCATAATGATGTGTCCTTCCTGGCTGGGCCTCACTTCCTCATTGTATAGCAAGGGCCAGGACTCTCTAACTGCTGGTGGCTTAGTGGCTCGTCATGGTAGCCACTGGCTTCTCTAAGGACCTAGAATGGGACTCAGGCCTGCTAGGGCCCTGCCATCTCAGGTTCTGTAGCAGTCTTGGAGAAGCATGCCGAGACTGGGGTTGGGACCGATACCTGAAGCATTCAGTGGCTCAGACCTTTGGGCAACAGCTGGTGAGATTAGCCAGCCCCTGCAAAAGAAACGAGGTATATGTGCCAGGTGGGTCTGTCCAAGGCAGGGATTCTCAGTCTCTTGGGGCCAGGTAAGAATTTGAGCATTTGTTGGAATCTTCAGGTTCCTTCCCATTAGACTGTCCTTGGGCATTTGTATTTATGACAACACATCAAAGAAGTTAGTGTACAGTACTCTAAATGTTGGGCAACTGGGGAATGGGTGAAATTCCGGTGTTGAAGTCCAACAGGAAAGCTAGGACAGATACTCATACCACTTCAGCCTCGGGGTGCTCCCTGACTAAGCTGAGTCCTTTCTGGATGAAGAACTGTAAGGGGACTGGGAACCACCACAAACTTCTTACTCCCCTGTGAGGACAGGACCAGCCTTGATGTATTCATGCTTGATATGGATATCTGGTGTGCAGAAGGTCTCAGATATGCCTCCCCATCACGGGGGCAGGCTGGGGTTCCGGAGAACCCCCAGAAGTCCCTTAGGGCCAGGCATGTCCCTGAATTTAGCAGCCTGCTGGAACTGGCAGAGAGCAAGGTCAGGGAGAAAGGGAAGTCCAGTAGAGTCTGACTCTGCTGTTGGTCCTGACAGGGCAGCAAGAGCCCAGAGCAGGGGCTGTTTCCGGGCTGAGATTGTGCCTGTGACAACCACCATACATGATGACAAGGGCACCCAGAAGAGCATCACCGTGTCCCAGGATGAGGGGATCCGTCCCAGCACCACCATGGAAGGCCTCGCCAAGCTGAAGCCTGCCTTTAAGGATGGCGGTTCCACCACAGCTGGTAAGCCTGAGTAGGGGCCCAGGGGGGAGCCTGGAGCGGATTGGGCCTCATGGCAAAGTGGCCGTGGAAGGGCTGGTTCTTCTCAGCCTCACCTTGATGGCTGTTGTTTGCTTGTAGGAAACTCTAGCCAGGTGAGTGACGGGGCGGCTGCCATCCTGCTGGCCCGGAGGTCCAAAGCCGAAGAGCTGGGCCTCCCTATCCTTGGAGTCCTAAGGTCCTACGCAGTGGTTGGGGTCCCGCCTGACATCATGGGCATTGGACCTGCCTATGCCATCCCTGCAGCTTTGCAAAAAGCAGGTAAGGCAGCTCCATCATACTTTACCTGGTGTCCCCGTCTTGCACAGCTGGGGCTGGGGAGGCACAGGGTGGGCGGCCTGTGGGTGCTGCAGGGAGAAGGTAGAACAAGCTCTTACCTCATTCCTAAGCCTCTGTGACCCAGAAACTGGGAATTCCTCACCCTTCCGGAAGACAGACCCTAGGCACTGTGGGCCTTTGCATGGGCGGGCCCAAGGAGACCCCAAGTCCTGTGGCGGGGCGGGTGTGTGCATGCTTCCAGCTCAGGCAGGCCTGTATCTTTCCTGCAGGGCTGACAGTGAATGATGTGGACATCTTTGAGATCAATGAAGCCTTTGCAAGCCAGGTGAGCCTTGTGTCTTGCTGTTGGCTGGGCCTGGGCAGCATGGGAGAAGGGAGCAGTCAGGACTGGCGCCAGGAGGGACACAGGTGCCAGCTGCTACTCTGGCTCCTTGCAGGCTGTCTACTGTGTGGAGAAGCTGGGCATCCCCCCTGAGAAGGTGAACCCTCTGGGGGGGGCAGTGGCTCTGGGCCACCCCCTGGGCTGCACTGGGGCCCGACAGGTCATCACACTGCTCAACGAGCTGAAGCGCCGTGGGAAGAGGTGAGGTTACACTTTGTGGGGTGTCTGGACTTTAGGAAGGTGGGGAAGTGAACATGCACCATACACATTGCTCAAAACTGGGGCCGCAAGGTGTAATCTCTACCTTCCTGAGGGCCACACTTGAAAGCAGTCCTGGGCTGCAGAGGATGTCTAGGTAGCCAGTGGGGACAGTTCCTGCAGATCTGGTCTGCTGGTTTTGCATCCTCTGTGTCCAGCAGGGCCTTGGGCCATGCAGTTGAGTGTGATTGAGGTGTTGGACATTGGGCCTCTCCCCAGCCAATGCGGTTTTGTTTCCCCAGGGCTTATGGAGTGGTGTCCATGTGTATCGGGACCGGAATGGGAGCTGCTGCTGTCTTCGAATACCCTGGGAACTGAGGCCCTGTCTGCGGACACTAGCTAGACAGTCCTGCTCTGGTGGCCAGAGGGGGACATTGCAGAAGCTAATCCATGTGGGACACTCAGTACTAATGAGGGGACAGGGGGCTAAGTCAAGTCACTTCAACTAATTTGGGCAATAGGAACACTACAGCACAATACAGAAGTGGGTGGGGTGTTGAGCTGCCCTGTCACACCCCAGCAACCGTGTCAAAGTCTGCATGGGTCACCCAGGCCACGGACCCTTGTGTAACTTCTGGGGGATGATGGCCTGGAGAATGAGGGGTATAATGGATGTAGAAAACACGTGTGATCTCATCTTGGTGGCTGTGGTTCTTTTCAAGGGCCAGCTTTCGCCTTGCTGATTTTGTCTGTGCCCCACCTCAGTAACAGGTGAGGAGGGAAACATGTGCACATAGCCCTGAACAGAGGCTGTATGTATGTAATAGCTGCCTTCCCTGAGGGCGAAGCTCAAACAGTCATGTCCTGCAGAGGTTGTCTGCTAACTTGAGGAAGTGTCTAGTGACTCTTCATTGTCAAAGTGTCCAGGATGGTTTGGTTTGCCCTTTGTATAGATAAAGGGATGTATGATGTAGACTTGCTGAGATCATTGCACTGGAATGGGGCACCTCATGCCCAGGAGCCACTCAGAGCCCTCAGTCTGTGTCCTGTCCCAGTAGACCTCTCTTCTGCCCAGGCTGTGTTTTTTCCACAAGGGTGAGTATAGCCTCAGTGTTGATGTGGTGCTACATACCCTGCGTCCTATGTCCTTGGCCTGGCAGTTGCAAGGTTCAGGACTTCTCGCTAAGTGTACCTTCCACCACCAGCATGGCTGCATGCAGCTCAGTGTTGACAAGCAGTGGGACTGTGGGCAGGACGGCCCTGGGCAGTGCCAAGGAGGCCAGGTGGTGGTGCACCTGGCAATGAAGAACACTTGCGTGGTGGTGGAGGTTAGGAGTGCACCAGTCAGTCCGGCCTCCTGCAATCTACTGCTTGGGAGAGATCTGAAGGCCTCAGCCTCTGTTCAGCTCCTATCCTGCACAAGGCAAGGAGGACAGGCTGTAGCAGCTCCAAGTGTTGTCCTAGAGGCCCCTTCCTCCTCTTGCTGTGGAAGGTGGGCCCCACAGGTTGCAAATGGCAGTCAGGAGACCCAGACTGGAACGTACCCCACGCAAGGTGGGGATTGGATTTGTGGTTCCCAAAGACAGTTCTCAGGCCCTAGCTTAATAGATTTCCCCAAATCCCCTGTTGGAAATGGCACCCTGAGCCTCAGAATCAACAGCAAGGTAGGAAGACCCTTTATGAAGACTTTAGAAAGAGTTGGTGTGGTGGTGCACACCTGTGGTCCCAGCAGTCTAGGAGTCTAAGGCAGAAGCTGAGAAGTTCATGCCCAGGCTGGGTAATGTAGTGACTTAGAAAGACCCTCAAAAGCAGGCTGGGGATATAGCTCAGTGGGAAGGCCCTGAGTTCAATCCCTAATCCTGAAAAAGATACAGACTTAGATTTGGCTTTGTCTTCTAGGACCCTTTCAGATTGACTGATACAGTTTCATGTGAGGGGCTACAGTGTTCTGTGTTAGTGCTGTCCAGTTCAGCAACCAGTATGCACATGTGACTGTTGAAGACCTGAAGTGGACAGTATGCTGGAGGAATTACATTTAAATTTTATTTAAATTAAATTGCAATCAAGTGGCCATTTACTACTAATGGCTGTTGTAATGCAGAGGCTGTCGCAATACACCAAACCTCAGATTCTCAGAGTAAGTGCCGGAAACCTGCTGACTCTGAGCAACCTCAGGTACTTTCCTCTGTGATGGTAGTTCTATGAAGGAATCACTACAGAAATCAGAAAATAGGGGCTGGGGATTTAGCTCAGTGGCATAAGCACCTGCCTGGCAAGCTCGAGGTCATGAGTTCGATCCCTAGTACCGCAAAGAAAAAAAAAAAAAGAAATTAGAAAATATACAAGCGAGGGGCTGGAGGTTTAGCTCAGCGGCATAAGCACCTGCCTTGCAAGCAGGCAGTCATAAGTTCGATCCCTGGTACCGATAAAAAAGGAAAAAGACAAATATATATATGCAAATGGTAACAAAAAGACTATATATCCAGAAACCCGTGGATCAGCCAGGTGTGGTTGAACACACCTGAAATCCCAGCACTTGGAAGGCTGAGGTAGGAGGATCACACAGTTCAAGGCCATTCATAATGAGTTCAAGGCCAGCATGAACCACAGAGTGAGACCTGGTCTCAAAAAAAAAAAAAAAAAAAAAAAGCCCTTAGATTAAACAACACTAAGAGGACAATTAAGTCTTCACATTTATATTAACAAAGAGGAAAAGTTGAAAACGAGGTAAGTATTTAAGAAAGATAGGAGCCAAGTGTGTAATCGCAGCACTTTGGAGGCAGGAAGATCACTGCAAATTCTAGGCCATTGTGTACTACAAAGCAAGACCCTATTTTAAAAAACAAAAACCCAAAAATGGAGAAGTGGCGTACCCTTTAATTCCAGCACTTGGGAGGCTAAAGCAGGATTGCAAGTTGAGATCAACCTGGACTACATGGGCCCTGTCTCCAAAAATGGAGAGAGAGAAAGCTTCAGCCTGGGAGTGCAGCTCAGTGGTAGAGTGGGTGTTTTGGATGCTAGAGGCTCTAGGTTTCATCACCAGCACCACAAAAGAAAAGAAAAGAAAATCAAAGATTAGTGAAATACAAAGCAAGACTAGAAAAACTGGTCAATTGAAAAAATTATATGGGCAAAGGCAAAAGCAGCTAATTTCAGTTTTGTTTTTTAATTTATGGGATAGGATGTCTCAGTATGTTGCCCAGGTTGGTCTCAATCTTTGAGGCTCAATGATGGTCCCACTTCAGCCTCTAGTAGCTAGGACTCCAGGTATGCACCACCACACTTGATACTTCCAATTATTTTAAGAAAATAAAGATACAAATAAGCAGTGTTAGGACATGAAATGAGGGCCTCCTACATGCTGGGGAGGTGCTTTCCACTAAGCTATCCCACCTAGCCCCCCAATTTCCCTCTTACTGAATTAGAGCCCAGTTTAACCCTGCACAGCCTCATCTCTGAACACCCTATTTCCAAAAAAGGTTCTATTCACAGTCCCAGGAACCCAAACATCTTTTGGGGTACACAGTCTAGCCAAGTAGAATTAATTTACTTTCACTCTTTAATGAAAACATGCAGGACTGTGCACGTAACAGTATATTCTAAAGGTTGTTTTGTTTTGTTGAGACAGGGCCTCAGTTCCGGCTGGCTTTGAACTAATTTTGTAGCCCAGGCTGGTCTCTAAATGATCCTTCTGCCTCAGCCTCCAGAGTGCTGGGATCACAGGTGTGCGTTACCACACCCGGCCATTCTCATTTTCTTGTTTTCTAAATAGTGTGTTGCATTTTTATTTCCTTTTAAACACTAGTTATTTAAAAGGCTGCTCTAAAAATTCTAAGCATATTGGGGTCTCCCCTAATTTTTATTTTGTTTTCTTTTCAACCAAAAGTTAAAAACTGAACAATATTAAGTAAATGTAAAAGTCATCCCCAACCATCAGAGTGTCAATCCTGCTCCCATAGGTATTTGTTGCTGATTTCTTGTAGTTTGTCTTTCTGGACTTCTATTCCACGTTTACAGAACCATTTGGCTTAATTGTGTGCTTCAAGGGCTCACATAGTGGGGCTAGGGCAGATCTCAGGAGATGAACATAGTAAAACCAGAAAGATAGAACCTATTCCAAATATTTCCTAAACCAAATTTGCTCTAAAATGAATACAAACAGCAGACATAGTCACACTTCAGTGAAAACAAGCATATTTTTCCTTCAGAGCTCCTTAGAATCAGTTTGCTTAAACATCAAACTTTTCTCCAAATACAAAAAGCTTTTTAAAAATCTTTAGAAACATCAAAAATAAAAAATCTTAGCCTCAGCTGCATGTGTTGCTTATTTAACTGAAGGCAGGCCCAACCCCACGCTCCACACCAGATGGACAAATCCGTTGTTTTTGCTCTGCCAGGGGCTAGAGTTCAAAATGTTATTTGCTCTCTTAAGAGCTTCCATTGCTCTCACAAATGATTTTACCACCTCTGAGGTGGAACACAGAAGTAATTTCTGACATCCCAAAATGTAGTCTCATATATAAAATTTCACTTATATACAAAAAACTACTGGATCTCAATTATAATTGATTTATCTATTTCATTCCTTAATGTCTGGTTATTTTTGGTTGTGTAATTTCATCTTTGTCTTGGAAGTAGAAGGGATAGAAATCTAAGCTGCTAGATTATTCCCAATTTTTCATTTTTAAAAACTCATTCAAAATTACCTATAAGCCTGGTTGGTTTCAATAATTACTAATAAACACAAATTTAGGGATGTACAGTATGCAATAAAATGCATTGGAATTTTAAAATACATCTTGAGGGGCTGAGGCAGGAGGATTGCTTAAATCTAGGAGCTCAAAGCCAGCCTGGAAAACAGTGAGGCGCTGCCTAAAAAGAAATAAAAAGAGTGCATCTTGCTGGGTGTGGTAGTGCACAGCTGTAACCTAAGTGCTCAGGAAGTTGAGGTAAAAGAAATTTGAGTTTGAGGCTAGCCTAGGCGAAATAGCAAATTCAAAGCCAGCCTGGAATAAATAGCAAGACCCTATCTCAAAAGAATTTTAAAAATTTTTTAAATAATGTATCTGTGAAGTAAGAATTGGATTTTTGTTTCCGTTTTCTTCTTGCCATTGTACCTCACTATGGTTACTAAATGAAGGTTTTTTCTTTCTGAAAGCTCACATCTAGTACTTATCCTCAAATGGACTGGTCCTCACTGATTTTTCTGATGTAACTTATGCTGAAAAACATCTAGAGTCAAAGAAAACCCAGTAGTTAAGAAATCAAAGAGTTAAGTATGAGAAGAAAATGTAGGCTAATGTCTGTAAATGGTGTAGGATCCTATCTCTGCGGCCTTGCGCATTCCAGCTGGGCACGTGACTGGCAGAGTCATCTTTGAGGTAACTCAGCAGCTCCTGGTTGAATTACTTAGGCATACAGAATAGAAATACTGCTCTCAGACATGAAGCCCGGAAACACTCTCACATGGGGCTCCAGGGAGGTGCATCAGGGCCAGAACAGAAGACTGTGGGGTTAGCTCACTTTTGAATATGATTGACTAGTTCAGGGGTACAAATGTTCTCTGCACAGCAACCTTAAAGCCTCAGCAAGCCTTTTCAGGTACTCCTCAGCCCAAGAGAAGTAACGATTCTGGTCAACCATAGTATTATGTTTTCGAGGCCTTGGGTCCAAATAGTTTAACACAATTAATATTCTGATAACATAGTACCTGTTTGCAGAAATAATATACATAAGTTGGAGGAGAAAACACTTCATTTTGTTTTTAAATAAGAATGATTTACTAAGGGAAAGTGTATGCCTATTGGATGCTGTACAGGTTCTCCAGTTTCGGGATCAGATTGAACTCCATATCCGTATTTTCTGTCTCACCTTGATTTTCACATAGTACCTGCTTGTAAGTAATAGCTTATAATTACTTTTGTTTACAAAACCTTGTAAGTTACTGAAAGTGCAGCTTCACAAAGATAGGTTATGGAAGAAGTCATTCCACAACCTAATGCTAGAAACGAAACATGAACCACCGAAATGTAGTAGTTCACATGGGTCCTGACATGGGAAGTATTGTTGGGGCTCAGGAAAAACATATCCCAAAGGGTGGCACTCTGGCATGCTGAGCCAGCCAAGCAGTTTCAACCCAGTCTCTCTGTTTCTTGTTTCTCTGCCAAGTACACTCTGAGGTTTTCTTATCTAACAGAAAAGTTGTTTCCAAAATAAATGCGGTAGTCTAAAACCTCCTCCCTGCGGGCCTTATCAAGTAATCAGGAAAGACTAACCAACAGTGGAGTCTTCTTTTGGGGGTCAGCTGCAAACATGATCCGGCAGATTTTAGCTACACAAAGCCTGTCCGAAGTGAAGCTTCACCCTCTTCCCCTGCAGTTTGTCACAATCCCTCTCTGAAGAGGGTATTTAAACTCTAACCATCTGGCCCTTTCCTTGAGTTTCCTATTTTGTGTGGTTCATATGCTTTTTTTTTTTTTTTTTTTTTTTTTTTGTACCAGGGATTAAAGTCTAAAGTCTAAGGCCACCACCTTGCACTTGCCAGGCAGGCACGTGTGCTAATATCTCCAGCCCCACAGGTGCATATTAAGACAAATCTGTTGTACTGCTCTCTTGTTAACCTTGTTACAGGGGTCTAAGGCACAGCCCTTTATCATAGGCAGACAAGGATCACCCCCTTTTCTGCTCCCCCATAGCACCCATATGGGTTCTCTGCAGCTTCCCAGAGCACCTTGGTGCAGAGTTTAGGAAACACAAGATTAGATATATAGATAACTATGAATAAATCTTCAAAACAGTGCTGAATATAGAAAGCACATTTTGGGGCTGGAGATTTAGCTCAGCGGCATAAGCGCCTGCCTTGCAAGCAGACACTCGTGAATTCGATCCCCGGTACCAAAAAAAAAAAAGAAAGCGCATTTTATGGGTAGAAAAAATTTTTTATGGCCACAATGGTCATGTTCCTGTAAAATTCACTGAAGCCCCAATCCCCAATATGATGATATCAGGAAGTAGAACTCTTGGGAAGTAATTAATTCATGAAAGTAAAGCCCTTGTGAAGGGGACTAGTAGCCTTATAAAAAGAGGAAGAGACCCAGGAGCCTTTCTCCTTTGAGTTGCCACAAGAGGTGGCTGTCCCAGGCAGGAAAGGATCCCTCACCAGGAGCTGAATCTGCCAGCATTTTGGCCTTAGACTTCCCGGCCCCCAGCACTGTGAGAAGTACATGTATGCCGTTGAAACCGTCCCTTGATGGTATTTTGTGATAGCAGCAGGAGCTGACCTAGACAGACTAAGGTCTGCAGGGCTCCAGTGAGCCCCCTCTTGCTGAGGTTTCAGTAACCTGCTAAACTTGAGTGACAGGTTTCCTGGAGCATGTAACCCTGTCAAAGCCGCACCTCCCAGGAAGGCTGTCCTAGTGGTTTGCACCACATGCCTCTCATAGTTTCCCATGCCTGACGACTTCTTTACAGTTCCCTTGTGTTTGCGCATGTGTGTTGGAGGAGGTTTCATCTATCTTATTCTGTGTCCTTTCTGCATATCTAATTCACCGCCACTGAGAACGGGTAACTCCCAACCAAATCACAGTTTTCATTCCTGGCATGTTTCCAGAGGCTCAGCCTAGTCAAGGTCTCCACTGTGCCACCCCACAGACAGCTCAGGCCTACCATGTCCTGACCAAATGCCATTTTCCCCTCCTCCCCCAGCTCTGGTGTTCTACTGAGAGAATGGAAGCACTGTCCATCTGTAGCCGGGGGTAGCTTGTGTTGGCAGCCACAATTCTTTTCCTCTTCCTGAATCCACATCATGCCATGGGCTTACCCCATTGCTTACTTGGGCTGGCTGCAGGACTTAAATACTGTGTGAGGGCAGTATGCCAATTTTGAGCCTAACCTTCAGTGGCCTCTTGTGGTTGCCCATGTCCTCTTCTGTTCTGCCACTTTCACAACACAAAGGTGCCCAGACACCTGACTGATTCCAGGAGGAAGATGAGAGCCATAGCACAGAGCTGCCCGACCAAGCTTTGCCTAGGTGTGCCATAGCACAGAGCTGCCCGACCAAGCTTTGCCCGCTGACCTGGTGGCACATGATGGTTAGTAAAAGGCACAGTGGCACAAGTCCATGCTCTCAACTTCTCAGGAGCCTGAGGCAGAAGGATCATTGAGCCTGGGAGTTCAGGGTCAGCCTGGGGAACACAGTGAGACTCTGTCTCAAATGGAAAAACAGTGCTTGCTTTACACCACTTAGTTGGCAGCGTTTTGTTATGTATCAATCATTTACCAAAGGGAACATCTAAACTAGACAGCTGAGCATTACTTTTGATGCCTTCGGGCGTAGTGTCCCCAGAGCTTCCTACATCTCTCAAATCCGGTTAGTTCTCTCCATCCTCAGCACCTCTACGCAGTCCAGGCCTCCTGCAGTGACATTCTCAGGACTTGCCCTTCCTCCCTGTTACCCCTCACGGTTCACACAGCATCCCAAATGGTATCCCTAATGCGCAGATCTAGTCAGGACTGTTCCATGAATCTAACCCCAGGCTCGGCTATTCTTGTGACTCCAATGTCTCCTCGCGTGGATAGCTAGTTCTCCAGGACCGGAGAGAGCTCCGGAGGAATCCTAGGACCGGGACCTCCTAGACAAGGACAAGCTGGCTTGCAACTGAGGCCTGTGGCCCCTGGCTTCTGGAGAAGCCAGACTGTTTAACAGACAGGCGGATGCGGAGAGCAGATGAGACTGCGGAGGAGCCGCCAGGAGAGCGCGGGAGGGAAGCGAGCCGAGCTGGGCCAGCTGCTGCGCTCAGGCGCGACCCCCAAGGCCCGGGCCAGACACTGTCCCCGCTCGCGCGGCCCGGCAGGCGGCGCCAGAGCGCAGACCCGCCTCGAGACTCGGTCCGGAGTCCCGCCGGGCGGGGCGAGGGGCGGGCCCGGCGTCTCCGGCGCTTGGCGGACTGACGGACAGACGGACCGACCGACGGACTGGGTGCCTGCGGGGATCCGCGCGCCATGGAGGAGCCCGCCGCGCGCCGTTGCTGCCTGGGCTGGGACTTCAGCACGCAGCAGGTACAGCGCGCCCAGGCCCTGGGGGCGGGGATCCGGGACCCCAGCGCTGCCGGAAGCGGGGGCGCCCCCTGCCCGGCGGGGCGCGCGGTGGCCCCGAGGGCGGCGACCGGAGCCGCTCGGCCGGGCCAGGCGCGGAGCAGGCGGACGGGCAGCGCTGCACGCGCCAGCCGGCGGCCGCTCGAAGCTTGCTGTGAACGTGAAATGGGCACAGTGTCCAGTGGACTTTGCTTGTCCTTGGTTGGCACTAGCGTGCCCGGGTCTACAGACTTGGGACTGCTGGCCGTCGGAGGTCTGTGCTGCAGAGTGAAAACGATTTCGAGCTGGGGGCCGGGTCCCCAGGGCGCTCGTTGCAGTCAAACCCCTCTCCTCAAGTGATCAGAGGAGGCAGGCTCACCAGTGGGAACGTCAGGTTGCCTTGCCTCAGTTTCCCTATCTGTATAGCTCGGTAAAGGACCTATACTTCTGAACTCAGAGCTCTGCTTCACAGGGCTGTGATCTTGGCCTCTGGTAACAACAGCCTGTGAGCCTTGTTTGGTCTGAGACCCTGCAGACAGCTCCATCCTCCGTCCCCCAGCCGCCTCACTCAGCCTTCCATCTTTAAGACTGTGTCAGCCTTGCGGGCTCACGAACCAGCTCACTTGTGAACTAACGCTAGAGGGCCTTGGCTTTGGCTGTTAGGGGGGCAAGGTTTCTACATGGGTGTGGCAACTTAGCCTCAGGGTCCTTTCACTTAGTCTCTGGGTGTGCCTGGAGATGGAGTCTCTGTTGCCATGGTGATGCACTCTGGCTTTCAAGGGTCGCTAGACTGAAGCCCACTTGGTGATGTTAGTAACCCATGGGCCAGTGTAGAAGTTGAGAAAAATACTATACATTATTTATTTATTTTTGGGACCCAGAATTGAACTCATATAACCTTGAGTTTGCCTGACAGGCACTTACACCACTGAGCTAAACCCCTGGCCCCATTTTTAAAAATGCCTTCCAGGTGAAAGTTGTTGCTGTTGATGCGGAGATGAATATCTTCTATGAGGACAGTGTGCATTTTGACAGAGATCTTCCAGAATTTGGGTATGTGCCTCGTGTGCAGGGGTTTGCGGGGAGTCACGGTTTTGGGGACTATTTCTATTTACAGACTGTACTGTTCTGGCTTCCCCATACTGTGGGAGAGATGGTCCTGTTAGACCTCTGCATATCTTTTTTTCCCCATACTTGGATGTGTTCTCCTAAACTCCTGGATACTCCTGAACTTGGAGCTCTGAACTCGGAGCTCTGCTTCACTGGGCCATGATCTTGGCCTCTGGTAACAGCCTCCTTCCCCACTCCATTCACTCATTCATTCATTAATACAAGCACCATTTCACATCTGCTATGTTGTAGGCATCGTGCGGCGTACTAGAATTCAATGGTTGTATCTGTCCATTTTCTGTTGCCCATAACACAGTACCATAGGCCGGTAATGACAAACCTCGTAGAGCCTTCAGTGATACAAACAGCCCGCTGTGGCATGAGTGCCTAGGCTCACCACCACTGCTATCAACTTGTAACACAATACCACAGTTACAAATAAAATAGAGAAAAGAGGTTTGCTTTGGCTCATGGTTCTGGCCAAAGGTCTGGGGACTATATCTGACAACAGCCTTCTTGGCTTTCAGAGTCCTCAGGTGGCAGAGAGCCTCACATGGTGAGGGACAGAGTGTTCGTATGTGTGAATGTGTGTATATATGTGTGTGCTTATGTGATCTTTATGTCTCTCCCTCTGTTCTAGGACTCAAACACAAGGCCTTTCATATACTAAGTGTTTGCTCTACACCCTCACCTGTTCCTTTTATAAAGCTACTGGTTTTCAGTCTTGAAGGGGCAATGACTTTATATAATCTCTACCGCCTTATTTTTATGAGTACATGTTTGCAGTACAGAAAGATTACATTAATTGAGGGGAAACAGTACATGTACATAACAGTCTCAACTGAGACACAGTTTTGTTCAGTTGCTCGGGCTGGCCTTGAATTTATGATCCTCCTGCCTCATCTTCTTGAGGAGCTGGAATCACACCACATTTTATTCATTCATTCATCTGTCAGTAACTAGGGTTTCGTGAGGTCATAAGGATGGGGCCCTAATCCAACAGGATTGGTACCCTTACCAGAGGGACAGCAGAGCTTTCTACCCATGTACGCACGTACAGGAAAAGCCTGGTAGGAATGTAGTGAGGAGGTGAGTATGTGCAAGCCAAGGGAGGCCTGCCCTGGAAATATGATGCTGAGGCTTCAGTCACAGACCTCTGATCCCCAGAACTGGGAGCATATAAATGTCTGTTGTTGAAGTTACTTGTCCGTGGTATTTTGTCATGGGAACCTGAGCTAATGCAATGTGCAAATTTTTGTGTGGATATGTTTTTGTTTCTGTGGAGTATCTCCTGAGAAGTGCTGGGTCATATGTTTCACATTTTGAGGAACTGCCAGTACTATGTTACATTTGCACCAGTGGTAAATGAAAGTTCCAGTTTCTCTACACCTTCCCCAATATTTGCTACTATTCATCTTTTTTTTTTTTCTTTTTAAGACAGGGTCTCGATATACTTATTTTTTTTGTCTTTTTCGTTTTTTATTGGTACCAGGGATCGAATTCACGACTGCACACTTGCAAGGCAGGCACTGAGCTAAATGCCGCTGAGCTAAATCCCCAAGCCCTGATACACTTTTCAGGCTGGCCTTGAACTCATTTTGTAGTCCAAGCCGGCCTTGAACTTGCAGAGATTCTCCTGCCTCTGCCTCCCGAGTGCTGTGATTACAGGTGTGCACTACTGTGCCTGGAAGTTTTTTTATTTCGTTTTTGTCTTTTTGCAACGGGGTTTCAGTCTCTGGTTCAGGCTGGCCTTGAACTCACTTTGCTGGCCTCAAACTGAAACAGTCCTCTGCCTCTGTCTCCCCAGTGCTGGGATTATAGGCATGTGCTACCATGCCCAGCTATCTATTCATCTTTTGATTCTATGTTATAAACATCCTAGGGAATGTGGCATCTATTTTCTATGGTTTTCATTTATATTTCCCTAATGATTCCTTTTGCTTACCTTTGGAGAAATATCCAGAGCATTTGCCCACTTTTTAAAACTTGTTGTCTTTTTATTATTTAATTATAAAAGTTTTTTTAAAAATGTTCTGTTAAAAAACATGTTCTGTTTCGAGACAGGATCTCATTTACGGTGCTGACTCCCCCAGGCTGGTTTGAATTTGTGATCCTCCTGCTTTAGCTTCCCAGTGTCATCACTTTCTTGATGACCATTTGAAGTAAAATTTTTACCTTTAATTAAGTCTAATTTTTTTCTCTTTTGTTACATTTTAGTGTTAATATTATATTTACTTCATAAAATAATGGGAAAAATTTCTTTTTAGGTGCTATGGAGCAATTTAAATAATATTAGAAATGCTTCTTAAAAGATGTGTGAAACAGAGGATGTAGCCAATGACGGACGGCCCTTGCCTAACACCCACAGGCTCTGGCTTCAATCTCTAGCACTGCAAAAGAAAAAGAGGTTTTGTAGGATTCTTCTGTAAAACTTTTTTAGATAGTGTAACTCTCATTTTGCTTTATAGCAGGATTTCCAGTTTTAAGTTGTTAAATACATGGTGGAAATTGAGTGACAGTTTTCATTTGCTTGAGAAACTCAGCTATTTTTTCTAGTAAATTTTTATTGTCCTTAGGTTTTCTGCCCTTTTTTTTTTTTTAACAGTATCTTTTAAAAAATATATTAGTGTTATTGAGGATACTCTGTGTACAAAAAAAGGCATCCATTAAAAATATATAACTCACCAGGCATGGTGACACATGCTTGTAATCTCAGCAGCCTGGGAGGCTGGTGCAGGACAAATGCAAGTGTAAAAGCCAGCCTGGGTAACTTGGCATGATCCTGCCTTAAAATAAAATGAAAGAAGTTTGGGGATGTGGCTCAGAGTAGAGCACTTGCCAAATAGTTGGGATCCTGTGTTTAACACCAGTACTGAAAAAATAACAAAATTGCATGTGGGATTTGTTTTTGTTTTTGTACCAGGAATCAAACTCAGGACCTTGCGCTTGCCAGGCAGATACTATACCGCTGAACTACATCCCCGACCAATTGCATGTATTTTGACACAGAGAGGGAGACCTAAGTACCACTACAGTCAGGGTACAGAATGTTTAGATCTATAGGGATGGAGTGGCTAGATCACACATCTAATGATAGCATTCCCTTTAAAGTCTTTTAAAAATACTTTAACTGAGAGTTGTGTGGGTTGGATTTGGTCAGATCAGCTCTTTGCAGAAGGGTAAAGAAAGAGTTCCATCCAGAACCTTTCAGGATTTGCAGTTTGAGGAGTCCCTGAGCTGCTGTGATGGGCGAAAACTTGTTCCCGCAGCCACAGCTCTGCTGTGTAGCTTGTTGACTCCACTTCTCCAGACCTGCAGGCTTTCAGAAGGCTGTGAGTCCAGCCACACTCCCCTGTTCCTTTATCAGTCGATACCACCCCTGCCCACCCGGCCAGCCTCTTTCACTTGCAAGCTCACTGGCAGTGCACTTTCTGAGGGTCGCACCCCTGGGCTCTGGAGGATCCAGCATTCCCTCCTGCTGAGGGAGGCTTGGTCTCCACGGCCCACTGTGGAGCTGCGGGGCAGTGCTCAGCCTGTCTCTAAGCTCTGTCTCCTTCTCTCCTCTTCTCCCTGCAGGACTCAGGGAGGGATGCATGTGCATGAGGATGGGCTGACGGTCACCTCCCCGGTCCTGATGTGGGTCCAGGTAAGCACAAAGATCCTTTCCCTCTTGTGTCCCCAGCCTGTGATTTTCTGGGAAGACCCCAGCTGGCTGCTTATGTAAGCAGCTGTTGAAAACAGGTCCTCGCAGGGAAAGAACTTGCATGGTTCCTGAGGCAGGTTCAGCTCAGCTGGTGTCAGCACTCACAGGCCAAGGGAACTCATTCACAAAGGGCTAACGGGTACCAGAGCAGCTGCTGCTGGCAAGTCTTGCAGAGCCAAAGCCAGGTTTCCCAGGACATCTTCCCCAGACATCCCCAGTCAGCCCTCAGGTCTTGCTTGTACCTTGAATTCCAAACACAGCTCTTGGGATGTTGGTGCTCAGTACCCTGGATCCTTCAGTCCCAGGACTCGGGCACTCAGAACAATGACATGACCTGATCAGCCAGACCCATCTCCTTAGGATCAACAAGAAAGGATACCTGTGGCCAGATCTGGTGACTCCTGGGGCCATAGAGCCAAGAATGTGGGCAGCATGGACAGGCATGATAGGGCTCGGACTGCCTCCTGTGCCACAGGTACCAGAGTCCTGGAGTCCAGCCAAAGACACCACTACTGTATTTGTCCAAAGCTTTTCTCAGTTCTCCATACCATTTAACCAATTCCTGTGTTAAATTCTTTGTGTTAGAGATAACTGGTACGATTTCTTTATCACTGCCCTGAGCATGACTGATCCCCTGGAGGACTGAGCTGAGGGAGGGGTCTTACCCAGTCAGGCTGAGCCTGGGCTACAGGGGCTGGGGAGGGTTGAAGGCAAGGGTCACTGTCAGGAGGTCCCAGGGATCAGATCAGGTCATCTGACGGCCTTCACTAGGAAGAGCAAGCACCTGGAGATTCTGATCCAGGGGGACCTCTGATCTTGAGCAGCCCTCAAGGCTGTCCCTGCTCCTACCATTTCCAGCCCCTGTGTGAGGTTTGACAAGCAGGGTGCACAGTGCTTAGCACAGTTAGAGCTGGAAGGAATCTTCTCAGCATGAGGTGGGGATGGAGGCTCAGCTGAAGCTCTCAGGGACGTGCGGCTGGTGAATCTCTGTCTCCTGCGTGACCTCTTGGGGGCAGTGTCAGTTCTGGTGAGCATGGCCATTCACACCAGCCAGGGGCCTTGTAGAAAGATAAGTTCAGTCAGATAGCACTGAGGCCTGGAGGGAGCATTCGGGACAGACAGTGCCATTCTCCCTGTGCCCTGTACCTCGGGCGAGTCTGGGCCTGGAGCTGCTTTGCTTTTCTCATCCTGAGGGCTTGGAAGTGGATTGTGATTCCTTTTATTTGAAATATTTTTTGCATCATTGATCTTTTTGTTAACGTGACCTAGCACTTACAGGCCATTCTTCAGGAACGTCCGTATCTGCTCAGTGCCTTTTGGCCAGGGCAGGCACTTGCACTGATTTCTGTTTTGAGGCTCACCTGGTTCCGTGGTTCCATGTGATCATGGTGGACCCTTTTTCACAGGCTCTGGACATCATCCTGGAGAAGATGAAGGCTTCAGGTTTTGACTTCTCTCAAGTCCTAGCCTTGTCTGGGGCTGGCCAGGTTCGTTTGCAGCTGCCCATCTGCCAGTGGGGGGCTGTCTGGGCAGCAGGGGGATGGTGCTTCTGGGGGCACATTCTTCACTTTTGGGGAAAGAGCCTCCAGCTGGCCCCTTGGACACCATGACTTGCTTCTTGCACAAGAGTCTGAGATAGTTCTTAGGGTTAACATTATAAGGAAAGGGTCACTGAGTGAGAGAATGGAGTAGTTAGTGGCCCTGTTAAGGGCCATGCTTTTATCAGTGGGGAGGGCACTAAAATTGCTTTTCTGTTTCCTGGAAGTGAAACAAAGTAGGAAATGATACTAACTGTGGAGTAGTTTTAGTAGTGGGAAGAGCACCAAGGACAACGCCCTTAGTGTGAGGCTGGTGCCACATCCAGGACCTGACGTGGCCCTAACGGTGGCTCTGAGGAGGTGCTGGTGTGCCCAAGAGCTCTGCTCCTGACTGCAGTGACCAGAGCCGTGTTACTGGCCTTCCAGGGCCTCTATAGCCTTATCTGTCATAGGATCACCGTGAGTGTTAAATATGCAGAACAGTGCCCAGTATACAGTCAGCCTCATTTGAGTCTTATCTGCTGTCTTATCGGTACTCCCTGAGGAAACTGAGGCACAGTGAGGCAATATCACTTGCCTGGGTCACATGGCCGCCAGGGAGGGAGGTCAGGACCCCTGTGCAGCCTCAGCCTCCAGTCTTTGTGGTACAGGAGCCGCTGTCCCCTCAGCTTCACGACCTCACCAGAAAGCACATAGTCGTTTTTCTAAGAAGGCCCTCAGGAGTGTGCGGTTCTGCTTCTTGTTACACGAAGTCCCTGGTGATCCGAGTCTCTCACTTGAGCCCTAGGCCTGGCCCCACCTCCGTCCCAGCTGCAGCTCATCTGCTGCTTCCCAACACACTCCTGCGGTGTAGCCTGCCCAGACTGAGCCCCGGCCCTCTCCTACCATGAGTTCCCTTCGTGGGGAGCTCGCCTTGTCCCCCCATGGATGCAGCCCAGCTTTCCTCACCTGTCCATCTTCCTCCCCACACCCAAGGGGTCTCTGTGTCCTCTAAATTCTTGCAGAGCTCTGTGCCTTCTCTGTGTCAGCTCTGCCTCTGCTGACCCAGGACAAGGCCCCGTCTCTTCTCTCTCGACCTCTGCTGTGACCTCCCTGCCTTTGCCTACATCTCCCTGACACCTGCAGGCGCTGTCTGTCCAGCCCTGACAGTGTCACTCCTCTGCTGACCCAGGCTTCGGACCACCTCTGAGGCGAATCCCAGTGGCAAAGGCTCTGTCTCTTCTGGGACTCTGTCCTCAGGCCCTTCCTCTCTGCCCAGCCCACACCTAACATCTGCAGGCCCATTAAGTCAAAGGCCGCCTCTCACCAGCCCCGCCAGGTTCCCCATAAAGAGGCTGATTACACTGGGAACTCCACACCCAGCTCTGTCCTAACCGTTGAATGTACCCCAGCTGATTGGCTCTGTGTTCCCGTGTCCCTGTCACTACAGGGCTTTGTGACTGTGCATTTGCTTCTTCTCTGACTCAACCGCTTTGTCCTGAAAATAGGGTCAGTAAATACCCTTTTCTTTTCTTGTCCCTGGCAGGATTGAAGTTGAAGCATTCAATACATTTGTTTGAATGAATGAATGAAAGAATGGGATGAATGAATTTCAGGCGATACTGCAAGCAGTACACTTAAATATAATTTTACAAAAAGCACCAAGCCAGGGGTGGTAGCTTAGGCCTATAATCCCAGGACTTGGGAGGCTGAGGCGGGAGGATCACTGTGAGTTTGAGGCCAGCCTGGGCTACATAGTGAGTTCAAGGCCAGTGTGAACTATGTAGCAAGACCATGTCTAAACAGAAAATAGAAAAAGAAAAAACCCCCCAAAAGAAGAAGCATCGATACAAACCTATAATTCTTTCCTGAACTCTTCCTACAAGTATTGGGGTGGCAGATTGGAGTTCTTCCCCATTTTATAGAAGTGAAAACTTGAGTCTGAAAGGTGATAAGCTTTGCGACTGAGAGGTGGCAAGGAAAGGTTCAGGGCCCAGCTCTTTGGCATGTGCTCTGGAGTCTTTCTGGGGTGCCAGTGTGTGCTTGGATGTCTCCTCCACAGCAACACGGGAGCATATACTGGAGGGCTGGCGCCCACCTGGTGCTGAAGAGCCTGTCACCAGATGGCCCACTGCACCAGCAGCTGCAGGTAATGGCCGAGTGCAGTGTGTCTGAGAAATTCTGTAGCTGGGTGGAAAGACCTGGTCTTGTGGGCCCTCAAGTCTGTAGCTTTTGCACATTGTCGAGTATCAGACATGGCTTTGGCAGTGGCCCTGTGCTGTGGTCTACCCTGCCCTGGAGTCTCACTGGTGTTGGGAAGGAGGATCAGGTCCTGAGGACCCTCATCCCATAAGCCCCTTGCTCTCCAGAAAGACTTTGGCGGCCCCTCCTTCCTCCCCTTGGTACCTGATGCTCTGGGGATGCTCCCGAATGATGAGGCCTCTGGTTTCCTCCTCCTCTTGGGTTTCAGAAGCGCCCCAAAGTCTGGCTGTGCTGCAGCTGTAGCCCTTCCCTACCTAATCTGGTGACACACATGGCATTCGGTGCCTAACAGCAGAGGCCTTGAACCATGTGTTGTTGGGCCCAGCAGAGAGTTTGTCCCCGGCAGAGTTTGTCCCCACATGTTGCAAAGGCACATCTTGGGCAGCAGGGCCATGCCTGCTGTGTCGGGCACTGTGACGGCCAGCACCCCTCCCCCTTTCCAGGACTGTTTCTCTCTCAGTGACTGCCCAGTATGGATGGACTCCAGCACTACGGCCCAGTGCCGCCAGCTGGAGGCTGCTGTTGGTGGGGCCCAGGTGCTTAGCTGCCTGACTGGGTCCCGTGCCTATGAGGTGAGCAACCCAAGGTGGGCTGGGATGGGACTGGACTTTCCCCCACTGCCTGGGAGGACACAGTGGGTTACCAGCCTCCACAAGAGTCCCATAAGGCACTGTGGTACTCGTCCTGTGGAGCGAAGACTGGGCCCATAGGCCCCTGGGTTCTGGCCCTGACTCTCCCACCCCTCTGGTGCCCATTGTACAAGGGTGGGCTTCTCTCAGGTGTTCCCAGATCAGTGGGCTCACACAGAGCAGCTTGTGTTCTTTACCCCCTTGTAATAACAGGCCTTCCACTTGGGGTAGTTTTGAGATTGAAAGTAATCAGCACGGCAGACAGGCTGGGCCTGGTTGGCTCGTTTGGGTCTTGTGATGTTCTCTGAGTAAAGATCTGGGAAATAGGGCCAACCCTGCTTAGACCACTTGAAATAAGAAGGTAGACCAGGAGATGATCTAAATCTCTGTTCTGATGCTTTGGTCAGAATTGTAAAGAGCAGGGTTTAGTCATAAAGGCTCATCTCACCCTAACGTGGTAGGGCCATCCCAGGAAGGGCCAGAAGTGAAGTCTCTATCGTATGGGCATAACATGATTGACTCTTTGACTTTTGTTGCCGAAGTACTTGATTTCCAGGCACATAAAGGATTAAGGACTAAGAATCTTGAGTGTTCAGTAGATAGCAAGCATTTCCAACTTTGGGGCCTTGAAAAGTTTTTACCTGGGGCCTGGGATATAGCTAAGTGGTACAAGCACCTGACTGACAAAGTGCAAGGTCATGAGTTCAATTCCTAGTACCAAAAAAAAAGTTCTTACTGTCTGGGCATGGTGGCACACACCCATAATTCCACAATCAAGGGGCTAAAGCAGGAGGATCACAAGTTTGAGGCCAGCCTGGGCTACATAGCAAGACCTTGTCTTAAAAAAAAAAACCTTAAATAAAGCTCATACCAAATATCTAGAGTTTGCTGTGTTTCATTTTGTAGTTTGAGACAAGGTGTTGCTTTGTAGTTCAGGCTGGCCTGGAACTCACAGCAATCCTCCTGCCTCTGAGTGCTGGGATTACAGGTATGCGCCACCACACCAGGCTGTTATGTTAAAAATACTCTTAAGGAGTTGGTTATTGATTTTGTGTAAGATTTGGGTTTCTAAGAATATGTACTGTTTTTCCCAGCGTTTTACAGGAAATCAGATTGCAAAGATTTACCAGCAGAAACCGGAAGCCTACTCACGCACAGAGGTTGGTTCAGCATTTGTGTTCAATTGAAAGTCACAGGTGAATTCCTTTTGCAGTCCTTACTTTTAGCATAAGTACATCTTGAGTTCATGGCTAAAAAATGTGACAAAGAAAAAGATATAAAAGGGTAAAACCCTTGCAGCATGTGTGAAGCCCTGGGTTCCATCCACAGTATGGGAAGGCAGGTAGTGATATCTAATCACATGTTGTGTAATGCTTCAGTAAAGGATGGACATGAGTGGCTGTCCTGTGAGATTTTGGTAGAGCTCGGGCAGGGGTGGAGCTGAGTGGCAAAGCACTTACCTGGCATGTAGAAGTCCTAGGTCTGATCCCCAGCAGTGAAAAATAAAAAGGATTATAGCCGAGCTGAAACACTCCTGTCACCTAGTGTCGTCACAACTGTATTAAAGTAGTAGGGTTGTATTCATGTGTTTATAGTGGTGCTGGTGTAAATAAGCCTGTGCTGAAAGGCATATTGCATTTAGTTTTGTTTCAGTTTTATTAGTACATGCAGTGCATAGCAATCACATTCATCACGGGGAGCTGCCACATCTACATAACACATTTTTTTTTAAACCGAGGATCGAACTCATGACTGTGCGCTTGCAAGGCAGGCGCTTATGCCCTGAACTAAATCCCCAGCTACATAACACATCTTAAGTGTATTTTCTTTCCCCTCCCCTCTCTTCTTTCTCCGCTCCTTTTATCTCTTGGTTCTATTGTTTATCTCTTGCAAAATATCTATATCCCTGTTTGCTATTATCTATCTTTCATTTTGCTCTTAAGATTATTTTTACTTTGGGTTTCTCATATAAGAGACATTTAAGCTTGTGTGTCGATTTGTTTCACTTAACATTATTGTCTCAAGGTACATCCATTTTTATACAAATAGTACTGTATTGTGTATAAATACAGCATTTTCTTTATCTGTTTATCTTTTGATGAAGTATAAGCCACACAAGGGTATGCATGTGTCGCTATAATAAAATATTTTTAACTCTTTCGGAAAGCCACCTAAAAAGAAAATAGCTGGGATGGGATTTCTCCTAATGGAATTTCTAGTTTTAGTTTTTTAAAGAGTCTCCATACTGATATTCACAGTGATTGCACCAGTCTACACTGCCACCAACAATGGAGAAGGCTTCCAGGGTTCCTTTTTCCCTATAGACTCGCCAGCATTTGTTATTATTTGATTTCTGGTTCTTTCTTTCTTTCTTTTTTTTTGTACTGAGGATTGAACTCATGACCTCAGGCGGCAGGTGCTTATGCTGCCAAGCTAAATCTCTGGCCCTATTATTTGATTTCTTGATGAGAGCCATTCCTTCTGGGGTAAGATGGGGTCTCAGTGTTGTTTTAATTTGCATTTTTCTAGTGGCCAATGATGTTGAATTTTTTTTCATGTATGTATTTGGCTATTTGTACCTTTTCTGATAAGTATCTATTCATTTCAATTGCCGATTTTTTATTGGGCCTTTTATTGAGGGTGGTCTTGTTTTATTTTGAGTTCTTTATGTATTGTAGATAATATGCTTTGTCTGAGGCATATCTAACGACTAACCTACTGGGGAGAGGACACGGGGCCACTGTCTCCACAAGTCCCAGAGCCGTCCTGGGCCTATGGGCTCGCAGACCTGCAGGCTGGCGTTTAAAATCCTTCAGTGGGATCGCTGGCTTCTGAGAGTGATTGGAACTTAAACTTTCCTCAAACCCAACAGTGTCATGGTTCAGTCTGAATCCTGTAGGCATGTACCACCCACTGCCCTGCAAGCAGGAGTGAAGGGCACAGATGTGAGGGTACAGGTGCCCCTTGTGAACATTCTAGCTGGAAAGCCAGCTGCCGGTATGGTGTTTGTATAAGGCATTAGTTTTTTTATTTCCATTGATTATCTAGTTTCACAGCCCATCAGAAGCTGCAGAAAGTGCTCCCTCCAGAAATTTATTCCTATTCCTGCTGCTGTTATCTAGAATACTCAATCTCATCATTACATGAGCATTTTTCTAAAAGCTTCCACTTTTCTCCCCAAACTCTCTTCAAAGATGTAGTCCCTGCCCTTGGGAAGCTGAGGCAGGAGGATTGCGAGTTTAATGCCAACCTGGACTACATAGCAAGATGCAATCTTGAACATAAAACAAGTAAACAAATATAATAAAATAGATAAACAGAGCTCTTTTTATATTGTATGCATGGACCGAAACATTCAGTCGCTTGGAGTGTGCGGAAATGAGTTGTCTCTTACTGTGTTTCTTTCTAGAGAATTTCTTTGGTCAGCAGCTTTGCTGCCTCCCTCTTCCTCGGCTCTTACTGCCCGATTGACTACAGCGATGGTATGCCAGGGCAGGTGGGCACCCCTTCCACTGTGTGTGGGTGTAGCAGCCCCAGCCACCCTGGGTTGGTGCGCGCAGCTCTGATTTGCCAGGAAGAGACAGTATTAGTTATCTTTCTCAGTGTCACATTGCCTAAGCTGCCAAAGATCACAAATATTTTATTTTCTCACACCTGCTGAGGATCGGGAATGCGGGAGTGGCTTGGCTGAGCAGGCTGGCTTTGGATCTCAGGAGGTAGCAGCAAGCTGGCTGCGGGGCTGCTGTTTTCCAAGGCTCTGGTGTTGGAGCTGGAGTACCCTGCATGTGACTCTTGGCAGGTGGCCTCCTGTCCTGCAGTAGCCCCTGCAGGGCTACTGGTGACACTGTAGGTGGGCACAGGCAGGCAGAGCTGCCATGTTTTCCACATGAATCTTGGAAGTGACAGACTGTCAATCTCTCTCATTCTGTGGGTCACACAGAGCAGTATGGTGCCAGGTATCTCACACTATGTGAGTCAGAAGCCTAGCTCCCATAGGAGCTGTTTATTGACGTTGTGTCCATATGCGGGGGTGAGTGAGGAGAGTAAACCCAGAGTAGCCAAAACGCTCCTCGCACCTGCCCTGGGGCTGCTGCACTGCCAGGCGGTCACAGTCCTGCTGCAGTGGACACCGGGCTTCACGCTCCTCAGCCACAGCCCGGGCCCTTTACTCTTCTCCCCTCATTTACGTGGGAAGTCACAGAGTTCTGGGCCCCTGGGTGTTTGAGTCTATAAGGCATGGTTGGAGGAGGGGGTCCTTCTGCCTTCTGGTTCTCTGCTCGAGGACGATGTGGCATGTTGCACGCTTGCTATGAGGAAGGACCCAGGCATGAGTTGGTGTAGAGAGAATTATCGCTGACAGTTTTCACCGAAGAAATGTTTATTTGTCCCATCCTCAGGTTCTGGAATGAATTTGTTGCAGATCCATGAGAAAGTCTGGTCCCAGGCTTGCCTCAGTGCCTGTGCTCCTCATTTAGAAGAGAAGCTTGGTGCTCCAGTGCCATCCTGCTCAGTTGTGGTAGGTGCCCTTCCAGTGGGTCTCCTCTCAGCGCTGGAGGCTGCTGGAAGCCCCGCAGTGCATCACACACGTGTCCATCCATCAGTCACAACAAGCACACACACACAGGCACATACAGGGGGTTGCAGGTTAACGTAAGGCAAGTGTTTGACAAAGTCAGTGTAAAGGTTGTGGATCACCACCTTGTGCATAGCAGGGCTCAGGCACATGTTAGATGGTTGACTCACGGAAAGGGAGATTTCAGGGTGGTTTCACACCTAAGGAACAAATGTACCAAAGGCTGACCTTCTAGGATGAGGATTCACTGCTGAAAGTACTTAGGCTTGAGGTGAACAGAATACACAGAAATATCAGGTCGCCTGGTATAACACAGGTCCTGATGCCAGACTGCCTGAGACTGAGTCCTGGCTCTGCCGCCAACCGCTTTGATTTCATCTCTACTTTTTCTCCTGGAACAATGAGAATAATTGGTTAATTTTAATAAGTTTAAAGTGCTTAGACAGTGCCTGGTGGCCTGGGTAAATTAAAGACACTTGACCATCGGTGTGCGTTTGGAATGGACACTGGCTGTGAACAGCAGGCATCCCTGATTGACTGGCCCTGTCCTCGCCTGTCCCAGGGAGGTAATGGAGTAGAAAGTGAGCTGGGCCCTGCCACTGGGCCCTTTGGAGGGGTGCAGGTGCCGCACAGCCAGAACAACCAGAAAGAACTCTGTGGAGAAGAAGAGGCCCCCAGGACTGGAGAAGGTGGTGGAGCTGGCCACAGCAGGACGGGGCTCTTGGGGGTACCCTTGAGGATCTCAGCCCCACAAGCACGGTTCTTCTAAGGTGTGATTCTCACTGATAATGCTAAAAACTGCCTTTGGCATCATAAGGCAGAAAAGCAAAGCAAAACCATCATCATCAAAGTGTGCCGTGGGGCCTGTGCACAGAGCCTCAGGAAAAACAGTTCTGCCTCAGAGAAGCTGCTGGGGCAAGTCCCATGTGCCCAAAGAGGTGGACAGACAGTGCAATTCAGAAAGACCAAGAAGGGCATGCAGAAAGCAGCCACGTCCTGGGGTCAGAAGCCATTCCATGCATGGCTTTTAGTTCTTGGGAAGCTGAGTTTGTCCAGGGCCGCAGGCTCTTGCCGAGAGTGCATGCCTCCAGGAAGGAGCCTAGGAGAAGGAGCCGTGGAGGAATGAACAGTGCTGGTAGAGGGAAACTGCATTTTCATTTGACCCATGTGTATCGCATGACGGCGGAAACAAGCAAGAGCTCTATTTTTAGTCATCTCATTTTTTAATATAGCGCAGAAAAGCTAGCCATCGTTCTCTTCAGCAAAATGCCTGGAGATGTGTGTCGTACTAGACCCTTTCAAGCCCTACCCTGCATCTTTGCAGCCCAGCCTTCTCGCCAGCTGTTGTGGCTTCACGTAGGTGTCACCTGGCAGCCGCTGCCTGACTTTAATCCCCTCACTTTCTATTCCGAAGCTTCTGACCGCATCTGTTCTCTGTGACCCTACCAGGGGAGGATGTGCACAGCGCACAGGGCACCTGTCACCTGTTGCTGCGGTGATGGGGCTCTCTAGCATGCCCTGCTTCCTGTCCGCCTGTCTCAGCACCCCACTCCTATCTCCTGGAATCACTTAGCCACCTGTGTGTGAGCCCTGGCTCAGGCTCTAAATTCCAAGGTGACTCGGCTGAGACATTACTTTTTCCAGAGGATGGGATTGGCTTGTTCTGATAAGAACCTCTCAAACTTTCCTGGCTGGAGCAAAAGTTTCCTCCCAGACACCAACAAGTCCTGTCATTTATTTTAAGTTTCTGAAACTGAAACATAGGAAGAGAAAAAGTTTTGTTTCTTTTTTATAACTTTTGTTAAGAACATGGCTGTGTCCTATTTTCTGATCCCTCGGCCTCTTGCAGAGGGGCCCAAGGTCCTGGTTCCTGGATGGTCCTCTTCCCAGCCAGGCCCTTCGTGATTTATTTTCTTTAGAACATTGTTCTTTCCACTTGCGAGTCTGAGTGTCCTTATCCAATCTGGGACATTAAGCAGGTGTTTGAGGCATTATATACTCCCTTGAGTTTGCTTATTGGTGTCCTGTTACCGTCTTTTTTTACTTGTTTATTTTTATTTTTCCAGGGCAGTACCCAGGACTTACAGTTTACAAAAGCAGACTTAAGCTGGAGACTGTTTTGTTCCCACTGCCCTCAATCTGCAAATCCAGTGGTCTCTAGGATGACCTCATACTGTGGCTGCAGTGCTGCCAAGGCGGGCACCACTGGGGCACTTCTGGGGTCCGTGAGCCTGAGGAATGTGCCTGGGTCGTGACAAGGATCCCTGCTTCTCTGGGTGGCCCTGCAGGAGGCGCCTGCAGCCTGAGCGTTCCTGAGGTGGAGGCACTGCCCTGAGCGGCTGCATTTACTCAGCGGGCTCTTGCTTGTTCTCCTAGGGAGCCATTTCTTCCTATTACGTGCAGCGCTATGGATTCACCCCTGGATGCAGAGTGGTGGCCTTCACTGGGGACAACCCGGGTGAGTGCCTGGGACCGATCGATTCTTGCTGGGCTTTGGAGACTTTTCGTCCAGCCTGGTGGCTAAGGTGATATCCCCTTTCCTTTCTGAAATCTGACTCCTTACCCCTACCCCATCGTGGCCTGCCACCTTCTGCTGCCTGCAGGTGACAGCTGAGGCAGGTATGCACCTTACCTGCCATCCCGTTCCGAGGGGACACCTCTGCTGCACCTCTTCCTCCAGGCATGTTTCTGTCTTCGCCCTGTTGTCTGATCTGGAAATGTGCCTCGTTTCCTGTCCAGACACCTTGTCTCTTTCCCTGGCCCTTCCTGTTCTCCTCCAGGGGCACGTGAGGTCCTCAGGTCTCTCATGAAGGGCCAGGTGAGCAGCTCAGCATGGAACAGCACACTGCCTGCTGTCCCTACCTCTCCCCAGAAAAGCAGTCCTTTTCCTAAAGAGCCACAATGAGGATTAAAATTGTGATTCCTCAGTGCTGGGCATGGTGGCACCTGCCTGTAATCCCAGGACTTGGAAGGCTGAGGCAGGAGGATTGCCATGAGTTTAGGGCCAGTTTGCACTACATAATGAGACCTTGACTCAAAAGGAAAAAAAAGTGCTATCTCTGCTCACAGTTTTCTTTCTGTGCTCATAAATAAGCATTGTTTTTTTGTTTTGTTGTTGTTTGTTGATGCTGTGGATCAAACCTAGGGCCTTAGCACTGAGCTATGTCCACAGGCCTTTTTAAAATTTTTTTTTTATTTGTGGATGCAGGGGTTGAATCCCGGGCCTTTGCACTGAGCCAGTCCTTTTTTGATTTTTATTTTGATAGATGGAAGGTCTTGCCACATTGCCCAGGGAGGGCTCTAGTTACACTCCTCAGCTCCCCAGAGTGAGCCTTATTTCTTCGGCCGCACCCGGACAGCATCCCCTTGCTGGCCCCAGAAGCTGTGCTGGGCAGCGTGTGTTCACGGGGTCCCTCTGGATGGGGCAGCCTGGCTTTAGTGCCGGGGAATGCAGACAGCCTCCAGTTGCATCTCCTGTCTCGTCCTTTATCCCTGTAGGATAAGTGAGGCCCCTGGATCCAAGGCCTGTGACGGCCACTGCCGACTGCATGTCACTGGTAGAGTTCGAGTGTGTCACTTCCCCCTGATTCTCATTGACTTATTTGTGCATTTAGTGAGTGGTTGCTGTGTGCCAAGCACATCAGCAAACAATGCAGGTAAAGACCACTGTGCTTGGTGTCTAAGGTGCAGGGGACAGTCTGCATAACTCGTCCCTTCCACTGTGCACTGCTGGATAGGAAAGCCCCTCACACTCCCACCCAGCACGCTCCACGCTTGACCTGACTCCGCCTGTGCATCTTTCACCTCTTGTCCTGGCTCTCGGTTCTCTGCATGTCTGAGTGCCTGATCCAGCCTCAGCCCTGGGATCTTCTGGGCCTCCGTATCCCACAGCTGTCCAGGTCGTGTGGGCTGGGTAGGAGACAGAGGCTGTGCTGCTGTCTAGAACAGACTGTGATTTGCATCGTAGGGCCCATGAGGCCTCCACCTAACCAGAGCCTCCCCTTCGATTCTCAGCATCGCTGGCAGGCATGAGACTAGAGGAAGGTGACATTGCGGTAAGGTGGCTTCTCATACAGATGGGCTCTTTCTCCCCGGGGACCAGGATGCTGGGTCTCAGCAGCACATTTGCTCCCTCTGAAAGTCTGCTGGTCTCACAACGGGTGGTGGCCTACATCCCTTCCCTCAGTGCTGTTCGCGGAGCAGGGAGCCCACTGGGTGCAGGGGCAGGGGGTCAGACGTATGACTGGAGGGCAGTGAGCTGCCCAGTAAACGGGCAGACACAGCCTGTGGCTTCTGCGTCTAGCAGGGAAGTCATCTGAAGAGTCAGTACGGCCTAGACCATTCTCTGTGCAGGAGTAATCTGTCCTAGAAAATCAGTAAAGGAGTCCCTCATAGCCGGAACCTGGGACCACTCTAGTTTGAGAGAGTCAGAAGAGGTGCCTGGGGAAGTGGCATTTCACTGAGGCGAGCAGTGGAGTGTAAAGTTAATGGAGGGCGATGCAGAGCATGCTGCTGGCAGAAAGGAAGGAAGGGTTTGTAGGCAAAGCCCACGCAACTGCCTTCCACCCTTCTTTCCCCAGGTCAGTCTGGGCACCAGTGACACCCTCTTTCTCTGGCTTCGGGAGCCATCACCTGCCCTAGAAGGCCACCTCTTCTGCAACCCGATTGATCCGCAGCACTACATGGCACTCTTGTGGTGGGTGTGGGCGTGGTTGGCACAGTTCCTGGCAGGGGGCAGGAGGTGCAGGCAGGTCTGTATCACCTTGAGCACTTCAGTCCTTGTAAGCAGACCTCAGACCCACTATGGGGCCTTGAGACCTCAGGGACGCACAGCTCTGGCTGACAGGAGAGCTGAGTGGGGTGGACCCAAGACCTGGAGTCCCCTAGCCCAGGACCACACATTAAAGCCCACCCCACACCTTGTCCCGTGGGAGCTGAGCACACCCTGAGGCGTATCTGAGCTACACTTTCTCATAAAATGGAGAGGAGATTGGGTTTACTTCATGGTGAGGTGACGTGTTGGCCATGTCAGACACTTAACAAGAGGCAGGAAGATGTCCTGCTTCCTGACAGATGAGAAATGGGAGGCTCTGTGCTCTGCGCTGACCTGTGCCCCTCTGCCTGGGACTCTCCAAAACTTGTGGGGCCAGCGCTGAGTTGTATGCATTTCTGCAGCTTTAAAAATGGCTCCCTCATGAGAGAAAAGATCCGCAATGAGTCTGCTTCCTGTTCCTGGAGCAAGTTCTCCAAGGCGCTGCAGTCCACAGAAATGGGGAACCGCGGCAACCTGGGTAGGTAGGCTGTTCCTGGAGATAGCTAGGCCCAGGATGGGGCGGAGGCTGCCTGCAGGGAGCTGAGGTCTGGGCCCATGAGCTGGGTCAGAAGAGGGCTATGGAGATGGCAAGGGCAGTCCTGCAGCCTCCATTTCTACTCCTTGGGTGTCCTGAGCTGGTGAGGTATCCTGGATCTCAGTGAGGGGGGTTGTGGTGTTGGCCATGTGCCCAGCGGAAGACCAGACTAGCTGCATCTCTGTCTCCTTGAAGTCCCTGGTGACAGCATCAGAGACGGCAGCTATAGTGTCTGCTGCTTAAGTGTCTGTTGGGAAATGCACCCTGGGCCTGGCAGGATTTTGGAGCAGGCTGGGAGTGCGCTCCCACCACCAAACCTGCCAGTGTTTTAGGATCGGTTGGGCAGCTGCTTCTCCCTCTGGCCTTCCAGGAGGGAGCAGAAAGAGTAATGACTAAGCGAAGCTATCCCAGGCCTTTCTGGTTCCTCTCCAGAGGAGAGGAGGAACCGAGACATTTCACAGAGGCACAAGAGGAGGCCTAGGTTAAGGCCAGTGGTGGCGAGAGGCAAACCCATGGTGCATGTGCCACAGGCGGCTGTTTATTATCATGGGACACTCGAAAAGGTTTGCCCTCACTGGTACAGGTCATGTCATGTTTCTCTAAGTCTGTTGAGAAACTGATCTTTGTTTTTGATCTCTAATCCCCCCTGGTTTTGTTTTAGGTTTCTATTTTGATGTAATGGAGATCACCCCTGAAATGATTGGATGTCACAGATTTAATGCAGAAGACTGTGAGGTATGTTTGTTACTGATGTTAGAGTTACATTGACTCTAGTTCTGTTTTAAATTTAGCAGTTAGTGGGCTGGGGATTTAGCTCAGTGGTGCAAGTGCCTTCCTGGCAAGCTCAAGGTTGTGAGTTCAATCCCTGGTACAAAAACAAAAACAAAAAAGCTTAAGTTTTCTGTCAAAAATGCTTCTTCTAGGCACTTCATTCATCCACTTGTCTACCTGAAACCTTTGGGGTGTGCTGTGTGCCTTCTAGAGGTGTGGAGTTAGTGGGGTCTCCCCTAGGCCTCCTTCCCCCAAACTGGAAGAAGATGCTTTCTGAGTGTCATGGGGAGACTCCTTGGTGAGCTGCATCCTACTTTAACCAACAGCTCCCAGATCTCAAGATTAGAAATGTCTCCTTAGTGGAAAGAGCTTCCAGAACACAGAGACACTCATGCCTCCTAAGCACTGTTTGATGGGGGCTGGAGATTTAGCTCAGCGGCATAAGAGCCTGCCTTGCAAGCACACGGTCGTGAGTTTGATCGCCGGTACTGATTAAAAAAAAAAAGCACTGTTAGGTCCCAGGCTCTGTGCTTATGTTTTTTTGTATCCCTCTATTTCTCTCTCTCTCTCTCTCTCTTTTTTTCCCCAATGCATTTTGTTTCAAAGAGAAAAAAAGAAATAAAATTTCAAAAAATGTCAATCAGGGGACAACAGTAGTACATACATTTCACATTGTCATCCTCAGTTCACCCACAGCACAAGACTTCTGCATTCAGTTGTCTGAACAATACCAACACAAATCTTTCTCTTCACTGAACTCAGAGAGATCACTAGTATAACTATCGTAGCTATCTTTTTTATATACATATATATATATATGTTGTTTCAGCTTCTCACACTAGTGAGACAGTACAATGTTTACACATACATGTCTGGTTTATCTTACTTATGAGTATGATCTCAAGTTGCATCCATTTACCTGTAAAAGTCTCCAGTTTATCATTTTCTATGGTTGAGTAGTACTCCATTGTATAAAAATACCACATCTTTTTTATCCATTCCTCAGTCAATGGGCATTTAGGTTGTTTCCAAGATCTGGCTATTACAAATTGTGCTGCTGTGAACATGGGTGCGCATATATCACTGCAGTATGATGTTTTTAATTGTGGGAAAATACCCAGAAGGGAATAGCTGGTTTGAATGGGACCTCCAGTGCTAGTTGTTGTGAGGAATTGCCACACTGCTTTCCACAGTGGTTGTACCGGTGTATTCTGCCCCCAGCAGGGCTCCTTTTCCCCACGGCCTCTCCAGCATTTGTTACTGCTTGATACGAGCCATTCCTTCCGGGTTGAGTGGAATCTCAGTGTTGTTTTAATTTGCATCTCTTGAATGATCAGTGATATTGAACATTTTTTCACATACTTATTTGCTGTTCGTATTTCTTCATCTGAGAAGTGTGTATTCATCTCAGATGCCCATTTTTGAATTGAGTCTTTAAGTCTGGGAGGTCTTTAATTCTGACTTTCTTTTTTACTTCCTCATGTTTTTGATGGTAACCTTTGTCTGAAATGCAGCTGGCAAACGTTTTCTCCCACATTGTGGGTTGTCTCTTTACTCTTTTGGTGGTTTCTCTTGCTGTGCAAAAGCTTTTCAATAGGATAAGACCTCAGTTGATAATTTTTTATGATAGTTCCTGTGCAATCTGGGTTTTGTTCATAAAGTCTTTGCCTACACCCATGTCTTCAAGAATTTTACCTACTGTCTTCCATCAGATTTAATGCCTCTGTTTGGAATATTAAAATCTTTGATCCATTCCAATTTTAGCTTAGTGCATAGTGAAAGATATGGGTCCAATTTTAATCTTTGGCATACGCACAGCCAGTTTTTCCAGCACTATTGATTAAGGAGTCTGTCTTTCTTCCAATGAATGTGTTTGGCACCTTTGTCAAAGATAAGGTGGCTTATTTTGTCTGGAGTTGTTTCTGCATCTTCTATCTGTTCAATTGATCTTTGAGTCTTTTTTTTTTTTTTTTTTTGCTATTACCTTATTGTTTTTTTAATACTTTTTTTTATCAAAGTAGCTTTGTAATATAATTTCAAGTCAGAGATTGTGATGCCTCCTGTCTTGTCTTTGTTGCCCAGGGTCTCCTTTGCTATTCTAGGTCTCTTTTTATTCCAGATGAATTTTAGGATGTTTTATCTAATTCTGTGAGATATGATATTGGAATTTTGATTGGGATTGCTTTGGAAGGAGCAGTTTTGGAAGTATGACCATTTTCACTCTATTGGTTCTTCCTACCCAAGAGCACGGGATATCTCTCCATTTTCTAATATCCTCTTCAATTTCCTTTCTCAGAATACGGTAGTTTTCAATATAGATATCTTTTACATACTTTGTTAGATGGATTCCTAGATATTTCTTTTCTTTCTTTTTTTTTTTTTTTTTGGATGCTATTGTGAAACACCGCTTATGCCCCGAGCTAAATCCCCAACCCCGAAAGGTGTTTCTTAATTTCTCTCTTAGTGAGTTTGTTACTTGTGTACAAGAAGGCTATTGATTTTTGCGTGTTGACTTTGTATCCAGCTATGTTACTGAATTTGCTTATTAAATATAGTAATCTTTTGGAGGAGTTTTGGGGGTCTTTAGAGTATCAAGTGATCTGCAAATAATGGTAGTTTAACTTTTTTCCTTTCCTATCTTTATTCCTTTTGTTTCTTTCTCTGGTCTAATTGCTCCAGCTAAAGTTTTGAGGACTATATTAAATAAGAGTGGAGACAGTGGACATCCTTGTCATGTTCCTGATTTTAGAGAGACAGTTTTCAGTTTTTGTACGTTTAGTATGATGTTGGCTGTTGATTTGTCATAGATGGCTTTTATCAGATGGAGATAAAGACCATCTATTCCAATTTTCTGTAGGGGTTTTATCATGAATGGCTGCTGGACTTTGTCAAAAGCTTTTCTACATCTATTGAGATGATCATGTGATTTTTGTGCTTGGCTCTGTTAAAATGGTTCATTCCATTTATGGATTTATGTATGTTGAGCTATCCCTGCATCCCTGGGATGCATCCCACTTGAAAATAGTGGATAATCTTGATGATTTGCTGCATTCTGTTCACCAGTCTTAAGGATTTTGCATCAATGTTCATTAGGGAGATTGGCCTGTAATTCTCTTTCTTACTTGGTTCCTTCTCCGGTTTTGGTTTCAGGGTGATGCTTGCTTCCAGGCATGAATTTGGGAGTACTGCTTCCCTTTCAATTTCATTAGAGTTTGAGAAGCAGTGGTGTTAGGTCTTCTCTAAATTTCTTGTAGAATTCAGCAGTGAATCTGTCAGGGCCTGGGCTTTTCTTTGTTGATAGGTTTTTCACATTTGCAATTTCATTGATTGATATTGGTTTATTTAGGATTTTTATATCTTCTTGGTTCAGCTTTTGTAATTCATATGTATTTAGGATGATTTCTTCTGTATTTCTTCTGATGATTTCTTCTGTATTTTTCACCTTACTAGAGTACATTTTTGTTTTTTAGAATACATTTTTTAAAAATAGGTATAGATGATCTTCGGATTTCTACAGTCTGTTGTGACTTTACCCTTTTGATTCCTAACTGTGTGGATTTGAGTCTTTTTTAAAAATAAAGTTGGCTAAGGATTTGTTTTTATTTAATCTGTCAAATTTTAAGTTTATTTAATCTGTCAATTCATCGATTCTTTGTATCGTTTTTATAGTCTCCAGGATGTTAATTTCTGCTCTGATCTTTATAATTTCCTCCTTCCATGAGCTTTTGGCTTAGTCTGCTCTTCTTTTTCAAGAAGTTTGAGGTTCACCATTAAGTATTTAAATGTGCTTGCTCTGTTCCTGATATGGGTATATACTGTTATAATTTTCCTCTTAAGACTGCTTTAATTAATTCCTTCAGCTTGAGTTGTGGATGGAATTCTAAATTTGTATCATAAAAACCTGTCTTTGTGAAAGATTTTGAAAAAAAAAATATATATATATATAATATTGTATATACAAATTGTGTTGTTTCACTTGTAAAGGAAAGGCTTGTTTTTCTTTATATTTCTAATAACTTGTTTTGCATATGATCAGCACTGATTTAAAGATATGTGTGAATGCAAACACTTGCATTTTTTTGTAAAATAAAAGTATTTAAATACAAAAAAAAGGAGACTGCTTTCCTTGTGCCCAGTAAGTTCCAAGGTTGTACAGTTGTTCTGATTCAACTGTAAAAATTGCCTAATTTCTTCTTTAATTTCATTTGTGACCCATTGTTGTTTAGTAGGGTGCCATTTAATTTCCAGGTGTTTATGAAGTTCTTGTGTTTTATTTTAATATAGATTTCCAATTTCATTGCACTGATAGTATGCATTGCTCAGATAGTATGCATGGGATAATTTCAATTCCTTTGCATATTCAGTGGGCCAGTATGTAATCAATTTGGAAAATGTGCCATGTGCAACCGAGAACAATGTGTATTCTGATGTCACGGTGTGGGGCACAATAGATAGCTACTAAGTCCATTTGTTCAGATCTTTGATTCAGTTCTAATATTTCATTATTATTAATTTTTTGTCTAACTGATCTATCTTTTGTGACAGTGGGATATTGAGATCTCATAATACAGTTGTAATAGGGTTTATTTGATTTCTCATCTTTAATATAGTTGGGTGCACTGGTATTTTTGTGTAAATATTTATGATTGTTGTCTCTTCTTGGATTATTCTTTCATAAGGATGCAATAACCTTTATTTCTTAATCAATCTTGGCTTGAAATTCACTTTGCAAATAGAATAGCTACATCTGCTTTTTTTAGGTTCCTGTTGCATTATTTTCCACCCTTTTGATTTTCAGTCTATGAATTTCTTTTTAAATTAAAGGAGTTTCTTATAAGCAACATATTGTTGAATCGTACTTCTTGATCTGTTCTGCCAGTCTGTCTTTTAATTGGTGAATTGAAGCCATTAACGTTGATGATTGTAACTGATATGTATTGACTTAGCCTTGTCATGTTATTTTC